TATTTAAAACCTTTGAAAAACAAAAATTAACATGAAATCAATAATAGTCGGCTCTGAAAACAATTTATAACAAATGTTCAAAATGTCATCCTTTCATTTCGACACATTTTTGAATGCGGGTAATGAATTCTGGCTCCACCTTGTCCTCCCGAGTTGAAGAAATTGCAGCGTAAACTTTTTCTTTCAAGTAACCCCACAGGAACAAGTCTGGCAGATCGTATTCTAGAAAATTCCGGTACATTTCATCATTTAATGCCGTTCGCCAAAGGTACCGCACCAAACGTTTACCGACCAGGGACGCTGGTGCTCCACTTGGTGTCGAAATGGAAGGACGACATTTCGAACATTTATTATAAAGTGTTTGTTGATTTTATGTTAATTTTTGTTTTTCTAACGTTTCAAATAATACATTTTACAAGGAAACCCATTTTTCTTAAATTTTGAATTACAGCGCCATCTGTTGATAAATTAAAAAAAGTTTCAAATAAAAGTTATTAATTTTTTTATGTACTACCAAAATCTGTAAAAAAAAGGTTATCCCATTTGACTCTCCAAAGTTACCCCCGCTTCACCCTTAAGGAGGGGTAGGAGGTGGCTAGCGGTAGCACCAAATAATGTGTAAAAGAAAAACCCTGTATCGGCGGAGTAGTTTTTAATGGATCAAATCATTTGATCCATCCATCTGAAAACTACTGCGCATATATGATGTAACTACTCCACATAGATCCAACCATCTTGTAACTACTGCGCATGTCCGTCATTTTGAATTCGCAATTTTGTTTTTTTAATGGATATCAAATTCTGAATTAGGGATTCCATAAATATCTGAATACTAAATTTTACCCAAACCATTAAAGTCGAACGACAAATTTTCGTCATATTGGATCAGCCATTTTATTTAAAAAAAATGGATATCAAATTTGTAATCAGGCCCTCAAAAACCACATGTTGTTAATAAGTTTAGTAAATAAGCAATGCTTATTAAGCATACGGGTTTTTTTTAATAGTATAAGGAGTGCCATAGATGTGCTTAAACAGGGTAAATTTTAAAAATTATTATTATTTTATAAGTATTTTTGTCTTGGTTAACGTTAAGTTGTGTTATAAAATTATACAACGTTAACCAGGAACAAATTTTGTTTATTATGAAATGCGAATAATGTTCTCATTGGTCCAAATAATTATGTTTAAATGTTTAAACATCGTCATTTATGTGCAAAATTATAATTTTTATGTAAAAAAAAAATGTTTACTTATTACCGGAATAATCGAGAGAACGAAAGAGATCGAGAGAAACGAGAAATTCTCGAGCGAGAGAGGGCATTCTCTCGTCTCGTCTCGAGCCTTTTTTCAAGAGAAAATCGCCCTCTCGTCTCGTCGAGACGAGACGAGACGAGAGGCGAGAATCTCTGGTATCGGCGGCATCACTATAGTTGATCATCATTTGGAACTTTTCTCAAAAGGATTAAGAGGGTTCCCAAATCATTATTAATTTTTTGAGCAGCATTAAAAATGAGTTATTTTTTAAATAATTTTGTTTACAGAAAAACTTTTTGGCGCTTAAGGAACCAATTGGTTCCTTTTCGATAAACGTTGTCCATTTATACTTTTAGTTTAATTTTATTTCAATGTTTTTTTCATGGATAACTTGACAGAATAAATTTTTGAAAACATGTGCAGTAATTATAATAATTATAGGTATACCTATAATTATAGTGCATTTTTAATTTGGCTACAAAATCGTTCCTACTTAAATTTTTTAAGTGCTAGCTTTAAAAAACTTCAATCTGTATCGCAATCGCAATTGGCATTGAAAGAAACATAATATGTTTCTATTATGATAAGCGCGAGCGATAGCTACATTCTTTAAGTGGAAAGTGAATCTAGATTGTACAAATTACTTGCTGAACTTTGTTGAGACGTATTGTTTGACTTTATAAAAGCTTTAAAATGTACCTTGCAACCGAAACCTGCAAACTGCATCCAAGTCATAGGGGTACATTTCACATTTTACAAAAGTTTTAGAGGCCCTTATAATGTGGAGGCCCCTGGCTTCAGCCACCTCAGCCCCCGCGGGGGCCTTTAATCCGGCGCTGTCTGAACCACAGTAAACACAATTATTCAAACAATAAACTAAAAATTATAGTTATAAAGTTATATAGTTCTATAATTTTTAGTTTAGTTATAACTATAATTTTTAGTTTAGTTATAGGTAACTATAATTTTTAGTTTATTGTTTGAATAATTGTATTCACATGAAACCACTGCAGTGGTTCAGAGAGCGCCGGATAAAGGAACTTTGAAGGAAAGTCTCGGTAACACAGAACATAGGGAAAAGTGGAGGAATATCGACCATTTAAAGAGTTCTTAAAGGAAGTCCTTTAAGAACTCTTGAAACGAACTTTGAAAATTACCATTATTGAACAAACGGTAGGCCCTTGTGGAAATTTTTTCTCTGAGAAAGTCTTACTTTCTCTGAAAAAGTCTGAATAATACTTATTAAGTCGGAAAAAGTCAGAATAAGACTTATTAAGTCGGAAAAAGTCTGAATAAGTCTTATTAAGTCAGACTAATAGCAAGATTTGGGAGTCTTCTGGAAGAGTTAATAAGACTTTTTAAGACTTAATAAGACTTTTAGTAGAGAAATGGTAGGTACCTACGGAGATAAAAATAAATATCCGAAATAATTCATAGAGGTTGTATTTGGTTATCGTAAAATAAAACACATAGAAAAGTATTTATTAACATTTTTGCTGTTGTTATAAGCCAATTTTATTGCATAATTACCTATATAATAACATAGGTAAGATGTAATAATTAGGTATAACAATTATAATTTTATACATACGATGCGCTTGACATGCATGCTTCCACAATAGAAAAAGGGTTTGCCACTGTACGTTTTATTTTAATAGTTTCTTTTGATACACGCAAATATTTACCTATCTAAACATTGTCACAAACAATAGACGTAAGACGTAATATCGAGAGACCAGCTTAGCTAGCTGACCAATTAGAGCACAGCTGACCTGTCAGTGGGACACAGTGTTGCCGTTTGCAAGTATTTTACTCGAAAATCGGGTATTTTCATAATATTTGCGGGTGATTTGCAAATTTCTATCAAAATAATAACAAAAGAAATTTTCAGTAAATAATATTGTATATTTACTAAATATGCACAATTATTTTATTCTATCTTGTTACATTTTTATTATTATTTTAGTATTTTGTAATTTATGGTCAGGAACTTTTATGGCAACACTGTACGTAAACACGAAGATCAACCATGATACAAAGATGAATGAAACACGAAGATCAACCATATTTGTCTATCGAAAATATCATGTCTATAGACTTGATATTAACTCCTTTTTCTATGTTGGAAACAATGAAAGCATGTTAAGCGCATCGTATGTATAAAATTATAATTGTTATAATTATTACATCTTACGGTAAGATTCTTACCTATGTTAGTATATAGGTAATTATGCAATAAACTTGGCTTATAACAACAGCAAAAATGTTAATAAATACTTGTCTATGTGTTTTATTTTACGATAACCAAATACTTACAATCTCTATGAATTATTTCGGATATTTATTTTTATCGCCATAGGAACCTACCATTTCTCTACTAAAAGTCTTATTAAGTCTTAAAAAGTCTTATTAACTCTTCCAGAAGACTCCCAAATCTTGCTATTAGTCTGACTTAATAAGACTTATTCAGACTTTTTCCGACTTAATAAGTCTTATTCTGACTTTTTCCGACTTAATAAGTATTATTCAGACTTTTTCAGAGAAAGTAAGACTTTCTCAGAGAAAAAATTTCCACAAGGGGGGATATCAGGTGCATGGGCCCCATATGGGGCATCATATGATGAATTTAGAAATGTAATAAATTTACTTTAAAGTATTATACTTTTAGGTCTGGCGATCTAGGTGGCCACGATTGTGTTCCTCCGCGCCCTATCCAGCGATTTCTATTTGGTTTATGCACGATGGTGCACCTCCCCATTTCAGTCTCCAGGTACGGGAATTTTTAAATCAACATTATAGAAATCGCTGGATAGGGCGCGGAGGAACACAATCGTGGCCACCTAGATCTCCAGACCTAAACAGTCTAGATTTTTTCCTATGGGGACATCTTAAGGCGTTGGTTTACAGCACCCCAATAAATACTGAGGAGGAGTTGAGAAACCGCATAATCGGAAATACTCCAGGAATTTTTCTAAGGGTACGAAACTCAATGAGGAGAAGAGCTGAAGCATGCATACTTGCAGGTGGTGGCCACTTTCAACAGCTAATCTAAATTATTTTTGTTTTTGTTTACGTTATTTAATGTTATTTCTTTTAAAATTATTTTATAATTAAATTTAATTTTAATGTTTATTTAATCATGGCATTGCTTTCTCAATATGCGCATTAAATGCTTTTTATTTTTTTCATCGAAAACCGTTAGTCGTACGAAAATTGGTCAAGAAATCAAATTTGCTCTAAAATGAATGGGGATTTAAACAATAATTTTTATTTTGAAAAATAGCAGTGGCATGCATAATATTTTCCCAAAAATATCTAGACCACATCCTAAACGGACGCCACTGGTAAAAAAAATAAAAAATCTTCTACATCAAAAACTTACTGTTAATGATTAGAAGGCGTGTACCAAATTTTATAAAAATATCTAGTTAGTTATTAAAGTTATGATAAAAAAACGATTTTTTTTTACTTTTACACCCTGTAACTCAAAAATTAAGAGGTTTAGGTCATAGGTTCATTTGAACTTTTTTTCTTAAACCCTTAAGGTTCAGCATCTTATTCGGAAACACCCTGTATATATAATATATAGAATATTTAGGCTTTATGTTTAAACGCAAAAACAAATATATAGTTACTTAAATAATAATAAAAAAACAATAAATGCACAAAATTTCTTACTTGAGACTACATAGAAATAATAATAGTATTATTTGTATGTTTGACCACCACTGTATCATTGAAGACCGGCAACACCGCTTACGTGGACTGGCATTCTAACAACTGCGCAAAATCCATCGAATTCATCATTCGCGTTTTTGACGGTTTCTGTTTCTTGCACGTGTTAGTTTTATTAAACGATTTTTGTACTATTTTATATTTTTAAGCCCAAAACTGATGTGTTAGTAGTTAAGGTAAGTGTTGAACTATTGTAGGAATATAAATTTGTTTAAAATCATTTTGTACTTCTTTTGTAATATGACGAAAAAAAACGTTGAAAAACGGTTATTTTTAGTCAATTTAAATAGTTGATTTTTAAATATTCCGGTATGTTTTTAGTTTTTTTATTGTTTTAAGCAGTCGTTAAAGAGTTTTATACATTTTCAATTATTCGTGCTGCTTTTTTATGAATATATATATATAATTTAACGTAATCATTCTTATCTATTAATTTAAATTTTTATTGTCAGTTGGAAAGGTAAAGATTATTAATAATTTTGCCAACTAATTGGTAAAACAATGATATTTTTCGGCAATTTTACTGTAATTTAAAAGCAATTAAATTACATTTCTTATACATAATAAATTTCCAGCTTAAATTGACATTCTTAAGAAAGTTTTATCTACCTCAAGTTCACATTCTTCAAGACTTATATCTAGCTTAGTGATTTGATTTCCCGAAGATATCGAATTCCACAGTTTTACAATAAAAAAAGTAAGGTTAAATGTTAAAGCAACAAAAAGTTCTATAGGTTTGGTTTTTACTATGTTAAAATGGTTTTTTCGTATATATTATTCTAATCAACATTGTTTTTAGTTTTTTATATACAATGCCACCAAAAAAAGACCCAGTCTCCCAACTTGCAAGCGAAGAAAGTGCTGTTAATTCCCCAGTAAGAAGATCATCCCGTTTAAGTATAAATGCAGCTAACTCTGCTGCCCCGGCTCCTGCACCTGCAACTTTAAGGGGGCGAAGGGCTTCACAAACCGATGCAACTACCACAGCTAAAGTGACTAAATCCAGGAGATTGTCACAGGCTGTTGATGATAAGGATTCCAAAGAAATTGAGGTTAAACCTGCTGCCAGAGGTAGAAGAGGTAAGATGTTTTTTTGTGAAATTAAGCTTAACAAATGTGTGCTCAAACTGTAAAGCATAGAGTTTATTCCATACAAATGGTTTCCCAAAATATGAGGACGCTGGTGTTCTATTTGTTGTACCAAAACAGCTCTAGTGTGATTGTGTGTTTACATCCAAAATCCAATAGGAATTGGTAAAACAAAACATTTAATATTAAAGTATTAGTAATATTATTGAAGACACAATCAATTTAATTTAGTATTAAAAATCATAAACTTTAAGAATTGGATTTTGGGTATTTTAACCCAGTTTTTACCTACCTGAGATTTAAGGACATCTTGCATAAAAGTGTGTTCTTTTTAACAAAGGCCAGCTCTTCCATTGTATTTATATGGCAGATGTATTTCATTTTTTGTTGTATTAGGTATACCTTTAATTTATAGGTTAATTCAATAATACCTATATAGTTTATACTATTATACAGGGTATTTGAAAAAATTAATAAGTTAAATTAGTAAAAGGGTTTTCAGATATATCTTGCAAAATTATACTTAAAAAATGCTCTAATTAAACATTTTAGGCATGTTGTGATATTTTTGGAATACCCATATTTTTTATAGTTTTAATTTAAAGTTAAATAGGTATTCTATTTTATTAATTTAACATTTTATATTTAATATGTTATGGACTATCAAATTTAGTTAAACTTTTTATTTTTTTATTTAACATCTATAACAAGTGTTTTATTATTTTCAATGATATTATTTTATAAAACAAGAATTGAAGGGGTTAGAATAGAAAGGGTATAAGTGCAATTTCTTTAATTTAGGAGATAAGTTCGTTTTGTGAAAGATAAGGTTCCGACGTATCGAAATGAAAAGGATTTAAGTAATTTTCATACTTCTAGGGACCTCTATTATCCAGTAGAAAAACATAACTAAACAAAATTCTTCACTTTTTTATGGTAACATAACTTTAACTTCAAATATCTCCAAAAAATGAAAATGTTACTTATACCCTTTTTATTCTAACCCCTTCAATTATAATTCTTGTTATATAAATTAAAAAAATTACGTTAAAACTTAACACAAATGTGTTATTATTTATTTATATTAATAATATTCTTTATGCACAAGAAAAACAAATTTTCTGTGATAAATATGCAAAAACATGTCTAGTTTTATCAGACAAAGTGGAATATACACTCACCGGCAAAAAACGGTCACCAGAAATTGGCAACAATTTTAATATTGATTTCCCCACTCATCTGATTTTGATGATTTTTTTTTTAATGTGGGTGTAAAATAATATATTTTATCTCCACGCGGTTTATAATTTAAACTTTATTGTTGTCAACATTGTTATGGCCTAGTAATTAGTTTGATTTTTTCTCGCTAGGGGTATTGTTTTGACAAATTAATCCTTTTCTAAGAAATTAATGTACTAAGCTTGTTTAATTTATTTATAATAAGCACTAATTTATTTGTTTTACTGTTAATGTTTTTCATTAAATTATTGTAAAATTAAATATGAATAATAAAACAAAAAGTGAGGTTAGGCAACCAAGAAAACGCACGATTCTTTTTCTACGATTTAAATTATCTTTAAGTTTTAATTTGCTTTAAGTTTTCAGTGAAATTAAATGTTAAACACAGCTTAAACATTCCAAATTTTTTAAATAAAAATCCAAACAAATTGAAATTAGATACCTACCTATTTATTAACAATTAATTGAATTCAATGTAATAGCAAAAATCCATTTCTACTTAAATCATGTTGCTAGGTATTGTCAAACTATTACTGCTTCTAAAAGCAATAATAATTATTGTACATTTAATGTAATCTTTATCTAATAAATAAATGAGATTCTAAAAAAGTGAGGTTAGGCCGCTTTGATTTTGAATTAAATTGACCTATATAAAGTGCTTTGAAGATAAAATGTTGTATGCCATTCGACCAATAAGTGCCTTTTTGTGCTTCGCTCAATTGTAGGCTTCAAACCTTGAGCTTAGCACAAAAAGCCTTACTTCTTAACCTAATGACATAAATAACTATTAAATGGGGCAAAAGTAAGACAGCAATAACGGCGGATTTCGGATTAAACATTTTTCTATTTTTATTATTTTTGTTATTTTTATTAAAGATAAACTGTTTAAAAGTTAACTCCTTGGTAAAAAAGTGTTCGTATGATTTCCTCGCGAACCGCCTATTTGATTTTGATGATTTTAAAAGTTAATAGTAGTAGTAGTTAATAAAATAAGAAAGTAAATATAAAATAACATTCTGGTACTTAAAAGTAAAGGAAATTTTAAAATCGCCTTTCTTAAAAATTAGGGTTTTGAGGTGTGTAAAATTTAAAAGTTTAAGTAAATAAAACCAAATGAAAGGTGTTTAAAAATTACAAAAGGAAATCTATTGTTGTTATATTTTTTATAAAGGGTGTTCCGATGATGGCATACTAACGCGATATGAGGAAGTACCTAATTTAAATTTAAATAACTTGACAACACTGTTTGACTAATAAGTAGAAATAAAACATACCTATAAAAACTATTTCTAAGAATAACGAGCTGAGATTGACAGATGTATTTTCTGACAGTCGTCATAATAGTTATTTATGTATCAAGGCAGTATTTTTTATCACGAATGTGGAAATAACCACGTGAGTGATAAAAAATGACTTTAATGCCGAGGTGCATATTATATATATTATCCGAAATCGCATTTGATAATACTAATAATTAATATTGATGATCAAATCAAATGTCATTTGATTGTAAGAAGTGTCTACGTATACTCTTTGTAAGTTTGACAGTTATGATATATTTGCCCGCCGCGGCGATTATTTAATTTAATTAATAAAATTAACTTATTATTTTTATTAAACAACATTTTATGAAAGGGTTCAATCGACCTTCACAACGGTGCTTTTTTTAATATTATTTAGTTGCTGCTGAGGAGCAGTAGACACATCTTAAAATGTATAATGGGTTGCATACAATACTCATATCGTAAGTTCTATTTTACTGCCGATTTCTTTTACTTTGACCTAGGAAGGATAAAATGGGGTTCCCGGTATAGAAATATACCGGTATTTCTCGACAATATCGCAAGCTTTGACATTTCAGCGAGGTATTTTGTGATTTTTGCAATCGATTTAGTGGATGTTTCAAGATTTGAATTTCCACGTGTATCTACTGGTGACTGGTTAAAAGACCAAATCCATTACTGAGCTTATGGTACTCCTGACGTAGTGGATAAAAAATATATAGAGATAGATTTGATTTGATCATCAATATTAATTATTAGTATTATTAAATGCAATTTCGGATACAATTTAATATGCACCTCGGCATTTAACCCAGGCAACACAGGGTCGTAGAAATCACGTAGAATCGTCGAAGAATTGGGTCGAATTTGGTCGAAGTTACATTTCAACCATTTTTCGACGTCTCAAAATTCACCAAAACACGACCAATTATTAACTTAGGTCGATGATAACCAATAAATGACGTCATTATCACGTGAACAGATGACGAAATTTTTAAGAAAATACGAAAATATAGTGATAATTAATAAGAAACAGTTGGCCCGTTTTAATTGGCCGACTTAAAGTTTTGGAATATTTTTAAAAACAAAAATTATTATTTTTATTTAATTTAAGTTATTTCGACGGAGAATAAACGTGCAATATTTTATTAAAATAATTTTAAACATTATTTTGTTTTAAACTAATTAAGATAGATTAATAATTATTGGATCAATGGATTTTTTAAAACAAATTCGCGATTTTTAAATCCTTTATCATACAAAATAAGAAATTAACATGTTACTGCCAGTTGACAATCACAATTTTAATTTTAGTATAATTATTTATCTACAGTGTTGCCAGATGTTTTATAATTTTCTTTTTTAAAATAGTAAATAATAATCGATAATTGTAACATAATTTAATCCGCCGCGTAGTTTTGCTTGTTTTTATACAATTTTTGTTTTGATAATTTTATATAATTTTCTGTAAATTTGATCATTTTGTCAACCCTCTTCGATAATATTAATTTTTACACCTGGCAACCTTGTTTCTCTTTGACACTACTTACAAAGCGAGGGAACGTTTATTCCTAAAAAACAATATGGTTGATTCATGCGTCTAACTTTTATAATCTGTGGCATGTATACATAGAACAAACCATTTATACTGATAATACTTTGGCTGTGTCAGGTAGGTCAATTTTTGTTTGTTTATTAATGTTTTAATTACTCAGTATATTCCGTAACGAAGTCATAACACCTATAGTAAATTTAAAAGTAAACTACGTACACGTCATCAATAAAACAAAAATTTTACGAATTGGTACCAACACTAAATGACTAAATCGAAGTCTGTAATTAAATATTTGAATGCATTTTAAACATCTTCAGTTGGCAACAATTAAGATGTTGTCATATTTACATTCAAATATTTCATATTTAAATGACACATAAAAAAGAATTTGACGTTTTAGAATTTCGAAGCTGTCAGTTGTGTTTTTGAATATTTCGTTTAATTCGTGTATTATTTCGTTTATTTTGTTTGTTGTTTGTGTTATTTTATATCGTTTAAGTTTTCATTGCCGTTTTTGTGTTTGTTATATATCGTTTTTTTTGTGTTTCCTATATTTAAAATGCCGAAGCATTTAAATAGTCGGAGTCAAGAGTTGGTCATTCTTAATACGCTATTTTGAGGCAGAACGGGATAATAATGGACCTTTGTTACCTTTAACAGCTGTTAGAGAGGTAAATAGGATTATTATTAATTATATATTAGAATATTGAACAATATATATGTTGGATACATAAAATAATAATATATATACCAGAGACTGACTTTAGATGGCAAAATTTTTGGGTTTTATTTTAGAAAATGTCTTTAAAAATGGCTAAAAACATACTTTTGGCGGTGCTTCATATAGGTTATAAAAACTCTGACTTTTGACATTTTGGTATTATTCATGTAAACGCCATCTATCGCCCTGTAGTTGCACTACCACTTTCCCTTGATGCAAGGATTTTAGCATCACATTGACAACCGTGCCCGATCAGCTGATTGATGACGTGTACGTAGTTTACTTTTAAATTTACTATAAATGAAGTACCTACATAAGCTCCTAAAATATTGACCTGTCATCTGTCTTAAAATTTAATGTGTTTGATTTTATAATAAATGTTTTGAGCAACTTAAAACATGTTTTATTAATTATAATTAATAATCATTAAACCAAAAGCCCTTTATGCACTAGTAAAAATAATTATTTATTCTTATATCCGATATTTTAATGCCAGACATATGTATGTGTTTCTGCAAAGATTAACTAACAATTTTTTTTTTGATATTCTACTTTTTTACATACATTTATTTTGATTATTAATTATTTACTAAATATATATCTACTATAGTAGTATATATATACTATATATAGTAGGGTTTACCTATTTATTTCTTAAAATTTAAAAGTACAACTAAAATTTTTTGTTTTTTTAATTTTGACAAAATCACATTTCGCATTGAAATATTTGATATCAGTATCGGTAATTATTTTTATCAGTGTATGACCTAATCATATATTATTCAAGAAATATTACGTGATTATTTACGTCAAATTACGTAAATAATTACGTAATATTACGTGATTTTACACGTGAAATCGCTGTGACATATTGTCGTCAATTTTACGAGGATAAGACGTGTCTAAGTTGGTGACTTCGACGTCACCGTAGACGTAAATTAAACGTGATATTCACGTCACTGTGTTGCCTGGGTAAGTCATTTTTTATCACACGTGGTTATTTGCCTCGGCTTTCGCCTCGGAAAATAATTTCCACGTTCGTGATAAAAAAATACGACTTTACTGCCTTGACACATAAATAACTAATATAAACGTCATTTGATAAAGTGATCTTGAGAATGCAAACCATACTTTATTTACGACAAAAGCAAAGTAATGTTTTATCAGAATTTAAAGTCAATTTTATTTGAAATTTTGTCTGACAGCTGTCAAGCGGTTTTAATCTCACTTTTCACCAATATGACATCTGTTGGCGGGTTAACCGTACCTTTTCTCAATGAATAGTGTATTAAGTTACTTAATGCACTATTGCATTAAGTAATATGTTTTCATGGAACTAAGTGATCTTTTAAATACACATTGACAAGCTGTGACTTTATGCCGTTTTAGTCACAGGCTGAAGTTTGTTAGTTAGTTGACAGTTGTCAAATGTCATACAATTGTTAAATGAAAGTGGACTTTATGTGAAATAATTCTAAATTGTGGAAATTATTTTATAATCTCAATATAAAAATAAAAAATTATTAAACAATTTCCTGACGCCAACCTTGAACAAGTTTTTTGCCCGTTTTTACTGGCCTTTTTATTTTGAAAAACTGCTTCTTTATGGAGATTAAAAGTTTGTTAGTCCATTTTCAAGGACAAATTTTTACCAACTGCCACTGACATTTTCAAAGCTGACAAAACAGATCCCACACCAATTTTGGTAAGGTACTCGGTTTTTATATTGATGTTGATCTATACAAATATTTTAATCGATTTAAAAAAAATAATAATAATGTTTATTGTAAAACAAGTCGTTTATAAACTTTTTTAAACAATCATTTTTATTAAACTCTCGCTAGCAAGCCAAAATACATTATATATTTTGTTACAGCCTCCTTATTAGTGGAAGAAACAAAACAAGTCGCATCACCAAGAAAAAACGCCAGAACAACCAGAGCAGTCAGCAAATCACCGCCAACGGTAAAAGAAGTCGTCAAAAGAGGCAGAAAACTATCAACGGCCTCGGACACAACCGAAACCAAGGAAGAACCAAAAACAACCCGGGCTAAAATATTGGCAACTGAAGATGCAGCAAAAACGCCGGTTAAAGCCACCAGGGGGCGTAGAAGTTCGGTGAGTAAAGTTGAAGAAGACGAGAAAGAACCGTCTAAAGTAACCACTAGAGGAAGAAGAAGTTCAGTAACTAAAGAAAAAGAAGACACAATCGTTGAAGAGCCTAAGAGAGTCACAAGGGGTAGACGAAGTTCCGTAGATAACGCCGAAGAGGTTCCACCAAAACCTGTAGGAAGAAGAAGAAAATCCATTGCAGATGAAGAAATAAGTGATGCGCCTGCCAAGTCTACGCCTATTAAGGGCAGAAGACGCCCCTCTGTTACAGAAAGTTTGTCCAATATGGATCCTATAATAGAGAATGAAGAAAATAGCGAGAAAAGTACCATCAAACTTACACCGATAAAGAAGAAAGTTGAGCAAGCAATCCTGGATCCAAACCTAAGCATAATTAGTGAAAATGAAGATACTGATAGTCCCAGGAAGTTAATATTTCAAAAATCGGCTGAGTCTACAGATTTATCCGAAATTAAAACGCCAGATAAGAAATCACCTAAAAAATTGCTTGCAGAAGAGCCTCGTAAACATTCCGACACTGACACTATTGTCAGTGGAACGGACGGTTCATTTGTGTTTAACTTAAACGTTTCTATACCTAACTCAGATAAAACAGACTTAAATTTATCTGAAAAAGCAGACCTAAACACGTCTAAATGTAGCAATGGAAGCGACAAGGAGAACGAATCGTGTAAAAATACACCCGGTAAAAAATCAATCTCAGCGGATCTAAAAGAATCTCCAGTGGTAAAACTACAAGACATTATGATGGCAGCTAACAAAGATCAAATCACAAAATCAAGTTCTATAATTGACCCTCTAAAGGAGAAAAATGTGGAAGAACGGGAGAAATCAATGTCCGAAGATTTCGAGTTCGATATGCCGTCCGATAACGATGAGGCAGAATTAAAAATGGCCGAAAAAAACGGGGAAAAAGAAAGGCCAAAAAGTCCTATAATTCAATCTACACGTTTAAGTTCATCCAGAAGACAATCCGTCGGAAAAACTACAGAAAATAATACATCAATAAAGGAAAAATCTGGAAGATCACCAAGTCCTGCCAGAGAACCACCAGGCAAAGTAGTAAGAAGATCGCTAACTCACACAAGTCCTCACAAAATGGAAGAAGTTGAGCCAATGGAAGTCGACGACGTCTTCGAAGAACAAGTTGAAACAGATGAACCAAACACCACCACACATTCCATAAACAAGGAAACAAACAAAAGTTCTGCAGCTTTCTCTGAAGGCGATACTTTTTGCGACATGTCCAAGTTGGTTGTGGAAGAATCCGATCTCGAAGATGGATCGAATTTGACTGAAGAAGAGGAGGAAAAGTTGCTTAAAGATCCAGAAGAAAATGATGCTTTGCTGGCCAAAGATCATAAAAAATCGTCAAATGTTGATGAAAAATTAAATGAAGATACCATCAATCCAATTAAAGAAATTAAAGAAAACGAATTAAATAAGAGTGCCTCATCAACCGAAAATGAAGATCAAATTACAGAACATAAACCCAACACAAGCTTAAATAAAACAGAAGAAACTACACAAATGGATGTGGAAAACGAAATAATTGAAGAAAATAATCAAACTGAAAATAACTCTTCAAACTTAGAAGAAACAGATGCATCCTTCAAACCACGAGTTAGCATTGGTAAAGAAATTTCGGGAAAAAATGAAGAAAGGAAATCTAGGAGCAGTCTAAATGTCAGTAACCTTTTAACAGAGAAACAAGAAATTAAAATAAAGGAGGATCAAAAGGAATATGAATCAAATACATTATCAAAGTCTAGATTAAGTGTTAACGCCAATGAAGAAGAAGCCGTCCATGAAAAGAGAAGATCCAGAAAAATTTCGCCCAATGCCAGGGAATTTAAAGATGAATTAGTAAGAGAGAATAGAAAATCAAGAAATAGTTTAAATATCAGTAAAATGTTGCCCAATGAAGTTATTACGAACGGTGTAACTGAAGTTTATAATGTTTCCACCAAAATAGAAAATGATGAGGTTGTTAATTTGAATGAAAGTAAAAAGGTGGCAGTAGAAAATAAAAAAGTATCTGAATCTGAAGAAAATGCTGACCAAGATAAGTCTGAAATTAAAAACAATGGATTGTACAAGAATCATGATGAAGTTCCCTGTGATAATCAAAAAAGTGAAGAAAAATTTGATACATCCACAAAATCAAGTCAAAATATTAATTTAGAAAAACCTGAAAATGAAGACAAAACTACGGAAAATGGCTTGGATGATAGTCATGAAGAACTTTCCGATAATGTGTCATCATTATCTTCAGAAAGTCCATCTTCAAAATCCAAAGAAAGTGAAAAAAAAATAAATATATCCACAAAATCCAGAGTAGGCATTTATTTGGATGAACCTGAAAATGAAGAGAAATATTTAAATGATCAAAGGAAACCTATCAAAATCTTGAACAATTTAAAATCTAATAGTAGTGAAGAAGTTTCTGATGATAATGAAGATGAAAGTACATCTTTTAAAATCAATGAAAGTGAAGATCCGAAAGAAAATGAGATCAAATCTACAAAGGAATTTAATAAAAATGGTTTAGATGAGAGTCGTGACATATCTGCAGATGAAATTGATTTAAATGAAAGTAAATCATTAGGAAATAAATTCACTGAAGAAATTTCAGAAAATGAGGAAGAACCTAAAGTAAATGGACTAGATGCTTCTCTAGAAGAAATTGTAGATAAACAAATAAGTCCAGAAAAACGGAAGAGTAAATCTAGGAACAGTTTAAATACCAGCAAACTTTCTTTTAAAAATGAGGAAGAACCTAAAGTAAATGGACTAGATGATAACCAAGGAGAAGATAAACCACAACCGAGAAGTCCAGAAAAACAAAACAAAAAATCTAGGAATAATTTAAATACCAGCAAACTTTCTTCAAAGAATAAAGAAGTAAATGAATTGGATGATGACCAAGAAGATTATGAAGACAATGAGGATACACAAGAACAGAAAAGTCCAGAAAAAGAAAAGAGAAAATCTGGGAACAGTTTAAATACCAGCAAACTTTCTTCAAAGAATAAAGAAGTAAATGAATTGGATGATGACCAAGAAGATGATGAAAACAATGAGGATGCACAAGAACAGAAAAGTCCAGATAAAGAAAAGAAAAAATCTGGGAACAGTTTAAATACCAGCAAACTTTCTTCAAAGAATAAAGAAGTAAATGAATTGGATGATGACCAAGAAGATGATGAAGACAATGAGGATACGCAAGAACAGAAAAGTCCAGAAAAAGAAAATAGAAAATCTGGGAACAGTTTAAATACCAGACTCTCTTCAGAGAATAAAGAAGATACTAAAGTAAATGGACTGGATGGTGACGAAGAAGATGAAGACAATGAGGATACTCTACAACAGAAGAGTCCAGAAAAAAAGGTGAGAAAATCGAGGAACAGTTTAAATGCCAGCCAAATTTCTTCTAAAAATGATGGAGAACCTGAAGTAAATGAAGTGAAAAATAACCAAACAGATGAAGATATGGAAGATGAACCACAGCATAAAAGTCCAAAAAGAGAGAAGAGAAAATCTAGGAGTAGTTTAAACGCCAGCAAACTTTCTTCTAATACTAACAATGATAATCCACATAAAGATGTTAAAGAGAATAAAGTACAGAAATACAGTCCTTCAAAGCAGAGCAAACTCCAACAACTTGAAGACTTCGCAAACTCCAAAGTTGACGAATACCTGCAAATGAAATCTATTGATTCAGATGAAGAAGAAATCAGTTCTGAAGATGATGATTACGATCCTGCAGAAGATTGTAACCGACATGAATTTATAGATGATATGGCGGAAGAATGCGAAGAAGAAGAATCCGAATACGACGATAGTAACGATATCCCGTGCGATGGCGAATCCATTGGTTCAACTGAAGATGAAAATAATTCTAGCGACGAGTACGATGAAGATGATTCGTTTATTTGCGATGAAGAATACAATGAACTTATTTCCGGTGATGAATACGACCTTGATGACCAAAAAAAAATAAAGACAAAATCTAGAATTGTAACCGTTAGCGATTCGTCGAATGATGAAGAACTTGATTCAGATGCAGAAAGGCGAGTTGAAAATAAAAAGGATAAGAAATACAGGGTTATTAAAGGAGATAATGGAGAAATTATCAAGATAGAGTCTAAGAAAAAGAAAGTAGAGAAGACGCCAAAAATATCCAGAATAATATCTGTTGATGATTCATCAGATGATGAAGAGTTGGAAAAAATGCGTAATGAAGTCGAAAACCCTATTGAAGTACTAGATAATTCTGACTTTGTAAATGAAGTTTCCTATGAAGAAACTACTCCAAAAGAGCAAATAAAAAATCCTGCTGTAGCCAATTTTGCAGAAGCCAGTTTGAACGATTCTGGAAGCCGTAGAGCTTCCGTTACTATCCATGAAAATATTAGAATAGATGACCTTAAAGATGCTGCCCTAAGCGAACGCATTAACTTGGTTGTGGAATCTTTCTGTAGTACTGTGCAAAAGGGCGAAATTTCTATGAATCTGTCCTTGCAATATGATGATTCTCCTTCTGTTAAAAAAGATAACGATACAAGTTTTGCTATGGATTATAAGCCAGACACAACCAATGTGGAGAAAAAAAGTCCATCGCCTAAAAAAAGAAAGTCGACTTCAGAATCCGAAACTTCCTTTGAAAAAAGAACACGTACTTCTTTGGAAAGCACCGAGCAATTACCTAGTACTAGTAAATTGAATACTTCTTTGGAGAATATGAAAAAGAAGAAGAATATCAAAAGTAAAATGTTGGAGGTGATCCCAGTGGAAAAAACAAAAACCAAAAAGAAAAAAGGCACCAAATTGGAAATAACAACACATGAATTGGATGACTTAAGAGTCGACACATTTAGTTTAATGAACCAAGAAATAATAACCGACATTAAAAATCGAAAGAGGCGTATGATTAAACCAAGTATGTCCGACACAAATTCTTCCTGGATTTCCGAAAAACAACCAGTGATTAAACCGTCAACATCACAAGTGACTAAAGCTGAAAAACTTCAGTCAGTTCAGCAAAAAGTGCACCCGAAAGATTTTAAAAATCAGATGCTTTATAATAAATCTAGAGTTAATAGGGTTGAAACCAAAACCTTGTTGAAGAAGAAAGGAGTTTTTAATTAAATAATTATTTTTACTGTTGATATTTTCTTTACACGCGAACTTTTTTTATTTTCTTTAAACGCGAACTTTTTTTATATATTTATGCATGTTTATGTTAATGTTTGTACAATTATTTTTTATGATAGCATTTTTATGAAAATTAATTTTAAGATTTTCGGAAGGCTGATAATTTTAATGCATTATTAATTTAATAAAAATATTGAGTAAATATATTGTTTTTTCTTCTACTTCTTTTACTTTTCTGGCTATTCAGACAAATCCTGAAAACTATTTTAAGCAAGTTTCACCGGCAAAAACTAATCCTTAATGGTTCCCACTCATCTGGAAAACGGAAAGGGAATTTGCATAATTTTACAAAGTCGGAAAATTTAACGAATTTTTATGGGATCTTTGAAAATAGTTTCTATTTTAATTAGTTAAGATCTTAATGAAAGTGACAATTATTTCTTAAAGCCCTAGTTGTTTAAAATTTCCCATAAGGAACTTGTGATGACAAATCTGGCAGAATTAATATTTCCGAAATTTGCTACAACTAATTCATGACTGGGAATCTGGTAAAGGTAGAATGTGCCGAGCGGGCTAAAACGTAATTTTTACATTTTTTAATTGATTTTGCCGGTAAAGATATTAAAAAGACATTACTTCTACTACTATTCATTAATGGTAGCCACCACAATTGATTTCAAAAACCTTTGGATTGTTATTAGAATAATGTTAAGTCTTGGCAATGCAACTAGTAGAATCGGGGTATTCTTTAATGAAAATTTGTTGGTTTAGAACCTACTTTTATGTCAAAGAATTGTATGTGATGCAATACCTAATGCCGGCGGCAATAACGTTAGGATATACATACCCCCAGACCGCAAAATCACATTCCCTGCACATGTCAGGAATATTCCAATCGTCCCAGAATATTCCCAGGAATATTCCTGGCATAATCAAATGTCCGCTTTTTGGTTAACCCAGGCAACATAAAAATTTAAAGAATATTCCATATATCTGCCTGCAGAAGACTCAAGGATTGTTAGGGGAATATTCCTTAATATAATTTGGGGATTATTCCCAGCCCTTATTGCCTCTTATACCCAGGAACTTAACTTAAGTATAGCCATTATTGAGTTACTGAGTAGATCAGTCCCACTCTAATCATTGTTGGCTGTACCATCACAGACGCACATCTCCAACTAATATTATTAACCTATCGGTATATATAGTTATCAAGCGTGCGTAAGCAACGGTGGGAGGTATTGCAACTAAACTAATGAATATTCACTGGGAATATTCTTAGATGATGCTTGGAAGTTTTAGAGGATCATTCTAGGAATATTCCCAATGAAGCGGATTATTCCTAGGCGATAGGGAATATTCCTGGAATATTTTCGAACCTTCATTGCAGTCTGGGCCTATATAGGAAGATTTGAAATCCGTCAACTTAAGCTGAAGAAAACGCACACAATGAAAAGCGGAAATTAGAACTAAAATAATTTGCGGAAATATATGGGTCATTCCACGCCAAATCGACCACTTTTAAATGTTTTAGGATTTTTTCCAATTTTTTAACCTAACCAAAAAAAGTTAAAATTTAAGTCTTTTTCAATTCGCTGTGGCTCCCGTCCCGAGGCGGGACTTAAGTTCAGTCCCGATTGACGTCATAATTTTAAGATTTGTTATGTTATAATAAAATAATAATAATAAATTGTACCTGTATACATGTTAAGGGCACTTTAGTTACGTCATAAAACCAAACCAACCCAAACTCAACAACACAACCCAACCGACCCCGCCCCATTGGCCCCCCCCCCGCCCCATTGAGCAAAAAACCCAACTAAAATGGGCAAATTTATGTTACGATAAAAATAAAACACTTTTTAACAAAGAAACAACAAATTTATAAATTAAAAAAAATAAAAAAAGTTTGACTTCTAGTGGGATCGAACCCGGTACCTCTCGCATGCCAAGCGACCGCCCTACCATCTAAGCCATCGAGCTTGACACAAATTATAAAATCTCGGGGAATAAAAACCGATTTACAGTGTGTGACGTCAATCGGGACTGAACTTAAGTCCCGCCTCGGGACGGGAGCCACATCGTTTTCAATTACCCATAACTTTTTAAAAAATTGACCAAATGGAAAGAATTTTTTTTAATTTTATTTAGATTTTACGAAAAAAAAATTTAGATGTCAAGTTCTATAAACTTTTGTAGTTTTTTTTTAGAACAAGCATCAATCTTTTTTTATATAAAAAAACCTTCGATTTATTCTGCGATTTGCCGCTTTTCCAAAATGGGTCGAATTTTCTTTCTATTTTTTTTATTTTAAATAGAAAATAAAATATAAGTAAATACTGACGTAAATAAATTCTGACGTATGTTTTATTAATTGTCATATTGTCATGTAATATGTAAATTGTGGGTAAATAAAATAAATCGTTTAAGATGGTTTCAAAAAAATGTATTAATCGTATTAATAATAGAATCATAATCATTAAGATGGAATTTAAATTAAGCGTAATATGTATATCATAAAACCATTTAGGTACTTAAATTGATTTTCTTAAAAATTAATTTTTTTACCAAAAAAATAGAAAAAAGTCGGCCCACTCTGGATTTATCAGCATTATTCGCAGAATAAAGTTTTTTATGAAAAAAAAGAAAAAAATTGCATATGGCGAACTTTTAAAAAAAAACTGAAAAGTTTTATAAAATATGAGATAATTTATTTCTGAAAAATACATTAAAGAACAAACATTTTGTTAATTTTTAAAAAAGTTATGGGTATTTGAAAAAAGCCTTTTTTTAATTTTCGTAGCTTTTTCTGGTTGGGTAAAAAAATTTGAAATAATTCCGAATAAACTTTTAGTGCGGTAAAAAAAGATAAAAAAATCAGCCAAATCAAAAGGGGTTAGGTTCAAAATTGGTCAATTTGGAGTGAAATTTCCTGTAAATATAAAAGCTAAGCTTTAGCTTTGTTTCCTTTTCTATAATTGTTCTGTTTAAATTTTTTATATTTTGTGAACAATTGTTTAGTGAAAAGAAAAATGGAACATTTATTTTTTTATAACTAGGCAGGTACCTAAAATTGTTGCTGGAAATTAGTAAACATTGGTCTGGAAAAGTCAGGGAATTTCTTTTAACCCTGGTATAGGTGGAGATGTACATAAAACAGAAATAAAAGATAATCAAATTCTGAAGCTAACAAATTAATAATATTTAAGCCTAAAAACCATATTTATCCGACTTCAAAATGTCAGAAATGGTTTTTCCCAGAGACATACTGAAAAAGAAATGTTTGAAAACTAATTTTCCAGTCTTTAAAATTTGCGATAAAATGAACATTTATCTTTATTTTGTCCGGTTGTTCGAAGTCAATTACATAAAATCCTTACCCTTTTCATGCTAAAATCAGGTTTATCATGTTTTGTAATAATTTGTAATGATTAAATAAAACATCGAATACAATATAATATATATTTAATAAGAATAATAATGGAAGCAATAAATGTAAGTAATACCTGATTGAATCATGCATACTTATACACTACATTACATAGATACTAAATTTAGCGTAAAATAAAAGTTCAGGATCCAAATAAACCTTCCAAAGATGACTGCACTTGAAAGATTCATGTTATGGGTTTTTATCACATAGAAAAATGTATCAATCACGCAAAGCAAAATTTTATACAGCTTGAATCTTTGAACCTTAAATTATATTGTTGAGATTATGATTAAGTAGGGTAACTAAAATTAGGTAGGTTCATGATTTTAAGAGAAGATTCCAATGAAGTTAGTGAGAAGCCTATTGCAAACACATTTATAAATCTTCACTTAATTATTTTATCCTACTTATTTTTATAGTTAGACTTACAAAAATGTTTTAAACACTCAGCTTTATACATTTTTTGGCCTCATTTTGTTAGTACTATATTCAAATCTACTAAAAAATATCAATGAAACTTGCACACAATTTTGTTCACATTGGGGTATATTGCAATAATATACTTTTTGTCTTTGACATGCACATGGAATAGCAAAAATTATATTTTTCTTAAGACTGTATGCACAGTTAGAATTTATTGGACTAACAATCATTTGTGCATACAACCATTAATCAAATGTACAGATTGCCTAATAATATAATATATTTATAATATACTCTGTATAATTCAAAAAGATATGTAAAACGATTGAAATTAATAGTAAAAAAAGTATCAACATAAAAAGGACAGCCACTAATTGAAATGTACAATTGCTTTGGAGAAATAAACACCGATTTGGGCGGGTAATAGAGCCGATTTTCTAGACCCGCGCGCGCACAATTTGTTAGTAATTTGTTTTTATTGTTTTATTGGTAAGGTACTCTATTAAATTTCTGGAAATCTCCAATAGGAATGTCGATGCTGCTATTCTTTGCAAATGTCCTCTAGTCAGGCAATTGCTTTGGCTTCTGGCAAGAAGGCCTCCCAGTATTGAACAAGCTGAAAAAAATTATAAAATGTTTCTCTTGATTTTTTAATACATACCCAGAACAAAAGAAACAATCTTTTCAACAAACCAAGATAATCTAAATGGAAAGTAAACCAAAATAATGTAAATGGAAAGTAAATTTTCCTTAAAAATTAATTTTGGGACAAACAAAAACTAGATTAATATTAAAGTGAATTTTATTAAAATGTTATGACAATTTTACCAAGTATTTTGCCATGTTTTATGATTTAAAGCATATATTATTCCTATTAGGGTAAATTGTGCTTATTTGTTTAAAATTGTGGTGTCATTTTAATAAAATTCACTTAAATTATTTTGATTTACGTTCTACTTTCTAATATATTATTCTACAAAATTATGCTAACATTACATTTAAATGTAAGTTTTAGATTTTAAAGTGGTAATTTTTGGATTAAAACTTTATCGACTATCGTTTAAATAATTCTTTACAATTTTAAACCAAGAATTTTTATTTTTAAAATTTTTAACACAAAATTTATAGCTTAACATTTAAATGTAAGTCGATAATTTTTAATTCACTAAGTGTAAACATAGCTTTAGCTCTCTTTCTAGAGTTTGTAAGTTTAATGCATAGTTTAGTGCATGGTTTAATGCATAGTCACGGCGTTCTCTATAGAGAACGCCGTGGCATAGTCCATAGTCGGTGAAACATACAAAGCATATTCAGTCAGCTAAAGCAGCATTTTGTGAATTAAAAATTATCGACTATAATTTAAATGATTCTTTACAAATTTAAACCGATAATTTAGAAGAATAAAATATTAAAACTACAATTTTTAAAAATTAATATTTTTAAACATAAACTTTACAGCATTTTATATTTAAAATATTTTTTAATTGTCAATTGTTTTGAGTTTACAAAAATTAAACTTTTTAAACCATTTTGGTAAAAAATGTTTTATTTGTGTTTTTATTTTAAATGTCTTGAATATTTTTTATACCAATTTTATCTTAATAATTTTATAAACGATTTATTTAAGATTTACGGAATTCTGACAAATAAATTATACTTCAGAAATTACTTTTCTTAAAAAATGATAGTTTAAAATTTTTGCAAAAATTGATTGAAAATAATAAATAATAATAATAATTTTCTAAAAATTTACATAAATTTAAAATATTTTCAGTTCATTTAATTGACTTCTGTATTAAACAATTATTAAAAATGAGAAAACGCATTTTAAATTTCTTATTACTGTTTTTTAGAGAGTATGCCTAAACAACAAAATATTTGAGCCCAGCTTTTATTTTTTGAGCCCGGCTTGGTTAATGGAAAACAGTAATAACAAATTTAAAATGCGTTTTCTCAAAAACTGTGATTTTTGAGTTGTGTCATTGTTGTTTCGAATGAGCGATATAGTTATTATGAGTACAAATCCACTTCCATTTTGGAAGTGCCTTCTTATAGATCTTCTCTTTTTTGTTTTAGCGTTTTCCTCGTCATTTTAAAAGCTGCCAACTTGACACCTTGCAAAGTACTTTGCAAAGTGTCAAGTTGGCAGCTAAAATAAAAAAGAGAAGATCTACAAGCGTAGCTTGAGATTTTATTGGGTCCCCATATAGACTCTATGGTACCTTCTTAGACCTTATAAGGTCTGTATATGATTTGTTTTGGGAATTTTTCCAAAGCTTGGTTATGTTTTATTTGCCACTAGATTTTTCTGTTTCCCGTGGAAATTTAAGGACTTAGGATTTTCCATTAGGTTATCCTGTAATTATAAGCCCTATATTCCTATATTATTTAAAATTGAAAATAAATTTGTATTTTTCATAACAAGCGCTTTCATTACATGTGAAGTACCTATCAAATAAATCATTTGATAGGTACTTCACATGATGTACATCAATATATATTTTTAATTTACAATTTGTAATCTAAAATCATAGGAATGAAAGTGACTCGTCACAATATGTGAGAATCAACCAAATTCAACCTTATGTAACCAATTTCAATTTTTTTCGTTTAGTATATTCGTAGAAAATAAGCGGCGACAAAAACACAGCCAGTGTTATAGGATGTAAGGGTTTGTACATTGAGTGTACAGAACCCTAAAAACGAGAATATTTTCACATGAGCACAGAGTAATTATTGAAAAGCTGCTGGCAAGAAGTCCCCTTGTAATGATACATTTTTCTTAATTATGCTGTTTCTGTTTGGAAATATATTTTTTAATGCACTAGTTTTTTATTCTGGTATGGCGTTGGTGTGCGATTTTCTAATATTTGTTTTTGACTTACCTGACCTTGATGGTCCAAATGATTCTCCAAATATTTAATAAAAATCATTTTAAAATCGTGTATTCTGCATTTTTCAAACCTTTCCATCTCTCTCTTAATCATCTGGGAAATTTTGTCAAAGTTTTCTTGGCCCCTCTCCACCTTAGCTTCCCACTAAAACAATTTTTTTGTTTGTAGATTGTAGTTTTACCTAAAAAAAAAGTACTTACTTCTATAACCTCAGTGCCAGCCTGATCCAACTTATCCGTCCTATTGGTGAACTCCATTTTCGCCTTGATCTCCCTCTTCTTGGCCAACATCTGCTGCGAATGCTGCCAATGCTGGAACAGCTTGGTGCGCTCGTGGAAAGCGTCCCTCACAGCTCCAAGCAAACCCAAATAATCCTTTAAAAGCTCGCAGAGAATGAAGAAATCGGTGTTGGCTTGGTCCAAGTGCAACGATTCGACTTTTTCCTCGGTGTCGGCCAACTGCGATAGAGCGCGCGACAGCGAGTTGTGGTCCTCGCACGAGCTGAGCAAGGCGGCGGATCTGGAGACGCCGTTGGTCAAGTTGGCGAGCTCTTTGCGGTAGGTCACCATTGCCTCGACGTTGGCGTGCAACTTTCGGAGTTGCGTTTCTAGGGCTTCTACGTGGGTGAGGGTTTCTTCAAACCACTTAAATGAAATTAGTTTTTGCATTTGAGATTAAAAGTTAAAAAAAATTCGCCATTTAGTATCAAACAACATTTTTTTGAAAACCACATCAATCCGTGAAAGACATTTATAAGATATTTGTTTACAATCTATTAGACATCTTAAAAAATATATCTACCATAGGACCATTGGCGGATCCAAGGGGGGGCGATGGGGGCGATCGCCCCCCCCCGGAAGTAAGTTATCAAGTTGAAATTGAACATAACTTTTTAAATTAATATAGAAAATAATAAAAAAATGGAATAACTTTAATTTCAACTTTCTTATTATTTACAAAAATTTTCAACTCCGCCCCCCCCAATGACACATTCTAGATCCGCCCCTGCATAGGACACATTCCAGATATTTTTTTACAGATGGCTAAAGCATGTCCTACAGATTTATTATAGCAAATGGCATGAATCATTTATGATAAATGGAATAAAAATATTAATTAATTTAAAATATTTATATTAATTTTATTTTTCTACTCCCACCTTTAAAACTCCCATTACTATACATGTTTCCATGACACTAAGTGACCTTTTAAATACACATTGACAAGTTGTGGCTTTATGGCGTTTTAGTCACGGGCTGAAGTTAGCAAGAAGTTTTTAGTCACATTATAGACCGCGCGGAGAATGCACATATTCTGTCACATTAAGTATTAATTTAGTTGACAGTTGTTAAATTTCATACAATTGTACGATTAATCGTTAAAATAAGTGCCTTTCTTGTAAAATAATACAAAATGTCAAAAATTTTATTATCTTGATACAAAAATACAAAAGTATTAAATAGTTTCTCAACGCCAATATTTAAAAAGTTTATATAAACATTGTATTGACCTTTTAATTTCGCAGGAAGTAAACTATAACTTAAATTCGGGCTCGCACTCCACTGTGAAGTGCTCATAAAATATTTTCCTTACTTTCACCGAAAAAATGTTGTTAATCCGTTTTTAGGGAATACATTTTGATTTATAACCTTTATAATCTGTGTTTATTTATAACACATAAAAATTTGACATTTGACGGTAACACAAATTCCCCTATTATTTTATAGATGGCGCTCTATACAAATATTTTATTTAAATCATTTTAAGATAATAATAAGTATTTGTTGTAAAAAAAAATATAGTATGCACCTCGTTTAAAATGGCGTTTATCAAACTTGATACATAATATACTTTTATAATTTTGTTATTTAGTTAAATTTTTAGTATTTTTTGTTACTTTTTGCCTAATATTAAGTAATAGTATATTATGTATCAAGTTTTATAAACTTCATTTTAGTTACGAGTATAATTAGGCACGAGCGAAGCACGCAAGCGAATATTTAATAAAAACGAGTGTCTAGATAAGTTTATAAAACGAGTTGCTTTATCTACGACGAACACAAAGAAGAATTTAAAGCCAATTTTATTTGTTAAACATTTGACATCTGTCAAATGTCAACGGAATTAACCTCGCTGTTCTCTAATTTATAATAACGCTAACTTCTGCCCGTGACTAAAATGCCCAAAGGCCACTATTGCTAATTTCAGCCCGTAACTTAAAACGCCATAAAGTCACAGCTCGTCAATGTAGAAGTAGATAAAATATATTAATTTTATTATAATAATTATAATTAAATTATAATTAAAAAATTTAGGCAAAATTTCCACGAAAAATACTAAAAATTTAACTAAATAACAAAATTATAAACAAATACAGTAGCGATCCTCTCGCTGCTGGTTACGCACGCTCTTCAACTATAAATACTGATAGGCTACAAATATGTATCTATGTAATATCTTCTGGATGCAGTTATATTAGGGTATCTGATATGAGATTTCTTTTTGATATCTTATTTTAGATAGGCAGCTAAAAACGGCTCATAAGATCTTTTAGACATTGTATCTTTTAATCAAGATATCTATTAAACATCTTTAAGAGGACATTTTGCTTGGTGGACAGTTTAAAAATTATTAAAGAGAAACATTTCCCATTTACAATTGAAGGCCTTAGAATAAGAGGGGTATAACTTAGTGGTGTAAAAATAGTACATTATAGACCAGGCGGAGAACTCACATATTATCACTGATACATTTCACTGCCGAGGCGGTAGATTGTGTGCGAGGCAATTAATAGGCTTTCGACGTCGTGTTTTATATACTATGTTTTTGGCATTTAATTAAATAATTCCTTAAGATTCTGTCACATTAATTTTGGGTTAGGTTCAACTGACATTGACATTTTAGCTTTATTTATGTACGGAGTTTAATAATAATTTGAATTAAGAACTAGAATTAAAATGAAGTCTTTCTATATACAGGAGTCTTCTACTATGAAAATAATTATAATAATTATTATTGTACGCTTAAAAAAAAACATTTATTTACAAATATGACAAAAAAAACATTTTTTTCAGTTATAATAATTAATAATTCCTGACACAAGAAAAGTGGGAGATTCCTATTTGAAATCATCTTCAGACAGCTTTAAAAAAATACGGAATTTTGTGGGGAAAACCCTTTAATTACGAATAAACCTTAGTTTATTATGTAACAGATCACTATGATTTCGATGCGTTAGCAGTTAAATGGCGTGAAATATTTTTATAAATAAAATTATAATTTAAAATAATTTACAATAATAAGACCTCATATTATGATGGCTAATATAATATATTAGCCATCATAATATATTATATTAGCCAGTCTATTAAGGAAAAAACAATGTTATTGAAAAACAAACAAATTAAAAAAAACTCTGTTTTTTTTAAACAAAGCGTTTTTCTTTTAGTTTACATTACTAGGTATAAGTGCAGTAACCCTGTAAAGCAAAAATGTCTTATCTGCAATATTAACAATAACAATAATCTTATTTCCTTTCTTTTCCTTATTGTAGCTACGGTTTCCAAATTAGATACAGAATGCTAAGTTTTGTTGCTTTCACGGTTTTTGTAACCGGTGCCCGGATTTCGAGAAACATGCGCCTTAAAAATAATAGTTTTTAGAGCTTGCATTTTTCTAACAATCATACTTTCCAAAAGAAGCTTAAAGAAACATATTAAATGTTATTCGAAAATCTAAATTTTGAATGTAAAAACCCATAGAGGTTTGTAGTTTGTCATAATAAGCACACCAGGTGTGCCACACCTTAACATGTTTTATACAAACACAGCAAAATTAGTAAACAAAAATTTGCAAAATAAACAAAAATTTGCAAAATAACAGATAACATATTTAATTATTGTGTTTATCCACATATTAGTGTAGTCATTTATGTTTACTATATATTCGCATTTTTCGTAATTAGCACTTCATAAATAATAAAATATTTAATGCAGTTAATATTTATCAAATGTGTTTTAAATCAGTAGGTATTATATTTAATTAAATTAAAATTACATAAATATAGAACAAAAAGGATTAAAAATAGCCACACCTTAACATGTTTTATACAAACACAGCAAAATTAGTAAACAAAAAATTGCAAAATAACAGATAAAATATTTAATTATTGTGTTTATCCACATATTAGTGTAGTCATTTATGTTTACTATATATTCGCATTTTTCGTAATTATCACTTCATAAATAATAAAATTAAATTTAATGCAGTTAATATTTATCAAATGTGTTTTAAATCAGTAGGTATTACATTTAATTAAATTAAAATTACATAAATATAGAACAAAAAGGATTAAAAATAGAATATAATATATGTATATAGTTATTTAAAGAAATTAATAAATTAATTAACAAAAAAGACTTACTGGGTCAGTTTCATCCATTTTATAGGTAATCTTATTCATAGTCTCTCCAACTTTATTAAACAACCTTAAAACTCCTGCACCACTTAAGGCTGAAGTACTAGTGGCTTTGGGTAGTTCAATATCTACATATAAAAACTATATTGTTAAATTTATGAAAAAACTTTTTTTTACGGTTTTATACCTGACTCCAAAAATTCCCTAAAATCTGGATCCACAACTAGCACAGGATGTTGGGCAGTCCTCTTTAAATAACGTTCTAAAGCTGCTCTACGTCTTTCCACAAAGTCACTACCGTTCGTTCCGTTAGTTTCTTGACTGGACATTTTTATTTTTGTCATGCCTTAAAAAAAATATTAACAGAAACGATAGACTTTCTTTTATATGAGTAACAGTATTTTTGGAAAGATATTATGAAAAAATTAGAAAACAAAATATTTGCCAAAAATACTAAAAAAACATATTACTATTTTCTTACCAATTACGCTTTTTTCTGGTGCCGGTGGAATAATTCTTCCGACTTTCAAATATTTTTCGGTCAATTTATCGTGAAGACCCAAAAAATCGCTGAATCTTCTGGTGACAACAAACTCCCTACGTTTGAATATTCTCATATTTGTTTTGGTGGTAACCCTGTAAGCCATATAGGCCCCCATTCCATCTCCTACTTTCTGTGGTTCTGTTATGTTGATTTCTAAGAAATCATCACCACCTTCAATTTCCTCCTAAGAAAAAAAATATTAATAATTAAATATTATATAATTAGATAATAAACTAAAACTTGTTTTATAATAATTCTTAATTTTATTTATCAACAATTTTATGTTCAGTCAACACCAATAAGGGCGAATAAAACAAAAAGTTAGTAGAAGGCATAGGAATTGTATCAGTTTAACCAACGTATGGAAATTTAAATTTAAATTATGAGGAAAATAGGTGTTTTGGAATTTAATTTGTTTTGAACCTATTATTAATGTTTACTGGCAAACTAAACCTAATATTTGGTATGTTATCCTCATAGAAATAATAATATTTGTACCTATTTTTTATACATACATTTAATCTGGAAAACATGTTTTTTAATACCTATAGGTATAGCTAAATAAAAAACTACATTGATTAAAACTATTTTTCCAATGTATTGTAATCTAAATGATATTTTTATTTGAGGTCATAATATATTATCAATGGATTTAAATACTCATTATTTATCAATATATGTAACATGCAACATGTTTTATGAATTCATAAATATGACGAGTACAAAGTTTAATGTTAAATCTTATACAAAAAATCAAAATAGTCGAACTAATTTAGAAAATACAATAGAGGAAGTAATCGAAATTCCCAATACTCAGCAAGATATTTCCCATATGGGAAAGCAATTAGATTGCGGCAATTTTATTGTTCTAGTTGAGTTTTTTACTTAAATTTTTCCAAAATAGTTATAAATTGTAACAAAAGACTTCTGATTATATACTAATCAAAATTCGATAAATTAAAGTGCAATTAAATAAGAAGTAAAAATTTGACTTTTTTTAAGTTATTTTATTTAATTTCCGTATTAAATCACTGAATTAATTCATGCCCAGCATAAACTGTTATTAATAAAAAAAGTTCCAGAACAAATAAATTCTAAATAAAAAAAATTCTTGTCAAAATAATGAAAAAAAACAGTAGTAGCTATTTAAAATTAGTAAGATCTAAAGAAAATTTGGAAAAATATATTATTTTTATCATTTTAATTCTTTAAAGACATTTAAATGTGTTGATCTACTGCATTATATCTCTATGCATTATTTTGTTTTTTTCCTTGAATATAACAGGAATAATGAACTTATTATTCACGTTGTTAGGCATCATTGATTGGCCGATTTTAATATTCACTGTGATTTGAACCAATCAGGTTTTAAATTGGAAGAAGGCGACTATAATATTTAAAATTGGTAAAAAGTGAGGTTAACAATTTGAGTCATAAATAATTTAACAGATGTCAGATTTTATTTATTTATTTCTGAAAATCATTTAATTATCTACAGAGTAAAATAAAACCACCTCAACAACAACCCATTTTTAACCATTCTGTATGCAGCAATATCACGCCATTGCAAATTCACCAAAAGCTCGCGATATTACTACAATATGAGAAGTAAATTTACTCACTTATAAATGACAAAAATTAGGTTTTTGTTAGATTTGCTTTTTGACCTTTTTAACCATATCTTTTGAATAAATGAGTCAAACAGCTCTTGGAAAAGACAGTGTATTTGCAGAAGAAACAAATTGTTTATTTCATGTAAAAAAAAATGGGTATACAGTAGAATTTTATTATGAAAATAACAAACATAGTTTTCAATAGTATAACTATAATAGATGTCTATGAAGTTTGCAGTACGGCCATTCCAAGCCCATGGACAGGACACATCAGAAACATGTCTAAATATATTCTTGTTACTTCCTTAAGTTTACTTATTTTTTCTACGAGTATTTATGAGAAGTATTAGCCAAATTTGGCTAATACTTCTCATAAATACTCGTAGAAAAAATAAGTAAACTTAAGGAAGTAACAAAAATATATTTAGACATGTTTCTGATGTGTCCTGTCCATGGGCTTGGAATGGCCGAGTACTTAATTGATGGTTGTTTAATTTTTAATTTTAATGGTTTTGTTTTATCAATTATGATTTTCTTTGGGTAAAGTCTTATACTAGTTATGGTATAATTTTTTTTAATTTTTAGACTCAATGGTGGGAGATTTGAACCCCCAAAACCCCTTGTGAGTGGGAATGGTACAGAATAATCTTGTTATTATTAATTTCAAGGGTAAATAACTAAACATTTATTGATAATTCTTTACAAATTATGATTTAAAAAAATGTTTTTTTTTTTCGGTACATGTATTGTTAATTAATTAACAACTTAAGTATATTTAGGACCAATATTTCTAAACTTTTATTAAGTAATTAATTTAATTTAATCAAGCAATTGCACTTCTTATAAAAACTATTGATTAATCCTATACTCTATATTAATTGACTTTAACACATTAATCATGCTTCTTATCAGATTGATGTGGATATACCTATCTAAAGAAAAAATACAATACCTGCTCCAAGCTATCCACAATATTACTGCCATTATTAATTGGAACATTTTCAAGTTCCTCTCTGGAATCACTGATCTTTAACTTCCCAACCAAATCAGACTCCCCATTCAACAACTCATCTATTGTTCCATTATTATCCAATTTTTTCTCTGGTGGATACTAAAAAAAATTATAAACGAACAATAAGGCAAATTAAACAAAACACAATCAATTACCTGAATTGCCGATACGAACAAATCCTCCGGTTCGTTATCGTCGTTATTGATGTCGACATCGTCGAAATAAGGGGGAGGTTCCACGGGCTCGGCCATATTTTTACAACAACGTTATTTATCCAAAACCGGGACTCAACAAAACACGAATGACAAGTATAAAAAAGTTTAAACAATGAACTTTAATAATGAAATTCCCTAGATTTATGACAACCAATGCCAACACAAACTACAGGAAACTGTAACGCGGTACAGCGTTTTATCGCTAGATGACGCTGTTTAGCGCACTTGATTTAAAAAGTATATTTATTATTTCTTCCTTTTATCAGTGTTGCCACCCCTATTACTTTAGTAATAGATCTGTTACTTTTAGCTAAAATATATTACCCTATTACGAAACGTTGTAAATCTATTACTTTTTTCGTTCCTAGTAGGATTTTTTTTTAAATATTCTATTGTGGTCCTATTTTTGCCACTGGCAACTTGTCAGACAGCACAAAATTATTGTCGCAGCGCATCAAAACTATTGTAGAATTAAATTTTTCTTGGTTTTTCTAATATAAGTGTTTTAAATCTTGTTATATATTTTAAATTTATTATTTAAAAAAAATAAAAAATAAAGAGTTAATTAAAATAAACTTATTGTTTATCCAAAATTTAAGATTTTGTTAATATTGGGTAGTTTTATTCGCTTGTGCAATTTGATTTACATGACATTATTCTAAATTTTAATTTTATTTTACATGTGATTTCGTACATTGTACGTACGTATAATTATTATCGTACAAAACGGATAATTATTCTTTCTATGGACAGTTATCGTACGTCTGGCAACACTGCTTGAGTGTTTGACGTTTGTTGTGTGCTTAAATTTGTGTTTATAAAGTTTTTATTAAATTTAATAATTAAAATAGCATAAGCATCATGCACAGATTATAAAGCATCATGTAAAAAATCAATTTTATTCTAATGACAACGGTAAAACGTCAAAGAATCAAAAAAATTTGCTTCAAAATAGTCTATTACCTTAAATCCCAAATCTATTACATTTTGACGCATGCGTCTATTACGAAAAAAAAGTTATAGGTGGCAACACTGCCTTTTATCAAGACCACAGAACATAAGATCAAGACTTTGTTAAAATAACAGTTATTTACAGGGGGGTGAAACTCATATAGGAATATGCGCAACAAGCGCCTCCTGAGCAACGTTGCCATATTTTCTTTTTGTGGCTTAAGTCATCTTTTTTAATAATTATTTTAATTGTCAGTTTTGACATCTGTCAACAATAGAAAGAATATTGATAACGGTAAATATCTATTTCTAAGCTTTTAAGTATTTTTTGAGTTTTTTCATCTGTAATACAGATTCTGTATTGCTTTCCCTTGAAGTTACAGTAAGTATATACAATAAATCAGTTGCTTTTATAATGTTTTTTTGGAGATTGACATACCTATTAAATAATTAATTTGTGTGTAATTTATTACGATTATTTTTTTTTTTGCAAAAACCAATACTACTTAATAATATTGGGACATTTGCTTTAATAGGGACTATAGACCTATCTCATAAAACAGACTTTTGGATAGCGCGTGCCTGAAGAAGAGTGGTATCTCTTTCTCTTTTATATAATTAAAAAAAGACGACCTGCCTTTTCACGCACGCGCTATCGAAAAGTCCGTTTTATGGGATAGGTCTATTGTTGTTTGAAAGTAATTTCCTGCGTACTGATGTCCCTGGTGGAAGAAGTTATTGAAATTTTTACTATTGTTAAAAAATGTAATGCATTAATGGACATCAATTTTTTTTTAATACATGTATGTTTTTTTTAGGGCCAAAACCGATGCAGGAGGGAAGTTTTATACCTTCTTTCACTTCTGAACCCATTCAAAATACACTGTTTATATATTCTTTAATTTATTTTATTGTTAAAATTAGTGTATTATAACTATTTACTTTTTAAAATAAATAAATCTTTGCAACTATTTCATTTTATTGGTCAAATTTAAATAAATTAATATTATAATTATTAATATATACAAAATAGATAAAGCCGGCCCTGTATTATAAAAGTTAATAAAATATTTGGAGTACGGCCCTAATTGGCAGGCGTTTATGACGTTTGTGTTTCTTAAGTTTAACACAGTGGTCGCCCTTCTTATATTCTTTTTCTATGGTTATTTATGTCATTAGTCTTTTTGTGCTGAGCTTCAAATACCAACGCGTAGCGGAGGCCTACAATTGGGCAAAGCACAAAAGTGGAAAAGTAAGGTTAGATAGTTTTGACATTAGCTGAATTTTAAAAATTCAATTTTTAATTGGTCCAAACGGGTTTTTACAGACTGGGAGGTAATAGCATATTCTAAAACGAGTGTTACAATTACCCTTATTGTTAAGAGTAAGTAATAATTATTATAACCTTAAGGTTTTAAATTGGGAGAAGGCGAGTATAAAAAATTTTTAATTGGTAAAAATTGAGGTTAACCATTTGACAGATGTCAGATTTTATTAATTTATTTTTGAAAATTATTTAATTATCTTCTCATTAATTAATAGTATATTATTATAGGAGAGATAATGCAGGCTAATATTCACGAGGATGAGGTTTACGTCTCGAGTCGCCAGACGAGAGACCTAAATCATGAATATTGCGCATAATCTCGAGTGTAATACTATATATAGTATACTTTATCTACTCCAATAAGTAGATAATTAAATGATTTTCAAAATTAAATAAATAATATCTGACATACCTATGTCAAATTGTTAACCTTACTTTTTACCAATTTTAAATATTATAGTCGCCTTCTTCCAATTTAAAACCTGATTGGTTCAAATCACAGTGAATGCTGAAATCGGCCAATCACTGATGCTTAACAACGTGAATACTGAGTTTATTATTCACGTTGTTAGGCAGGAAATTTATAATGCTTAACAATATTCACGGAAAAACACCAAAATTATGCAATAGGAGTAGATAAAATTAATTTAATTTACTTGACATTTGCGCTATTAATAAACTTATCACTTTTTTTGGTTTCATTTTTTAAGAAGCTTGTACTTTTAATTTCAACAAAGCGTCCCAAGGTTTTTGACATTAAAAAGTGAAAGTGCGTTTTCTATTTTTTTTATCAGAGATTAATTAAAATTAATATATTAATTCTTATTTTTTATTAAATTAAGTTCATTTCTCTTATGGTGAATTTATGCAGCAAAAATTAACATTAAGATTAAGATTAATTTAACCATTAGGAGGGTATAATGGGCTTAATGTTAATGTTAATGTGTTGCATAAATGCTTCCATAGTATTACATTCATTTTAACTTTTTAATGTTAATCCTAATGTTAATGTAAATCTTAACTTAATGTTAATTTGTGCTGCATAAATCCACCATTATTTGGTTTGTTTCCATAACAACTAATAAAAAAACTTAAAACTTTAAAAAGTTAAATATTTATTTATTAAAATTTAAAAATATATAAAGCTAATGTTTATCACTTTTAGGTCTGTCTTCGTTTCTTGTGTAAAGACTTGCAGCAAACACAATATCCCTTTTAATGGCAGTGGAGGCTTCTTCCATTTTACTTTGTAATTCTGGGTCTCCGATAATTCTTGCCGCATCTCTGACGTCACAAATTGTTTCGTTAAGTTGTTGGATACATCTCACTATTATACCTTCTTGAATTTCAGTTAGGTTCATGATCTCAGCAAATGGCTAAAAAAGTGAATTATAAAAATTGTTTAGTTGTTTATTCATTTATACCTTTGAATTTGCCCATTCATAGACAACAAAGACTAATCCGAAGTTAAGGTCTACTTGAAATTCTTCTGTTGATATTTTTAAGTTATTTTCAAGAGCTCCTATTTCTTCATGGACTTTTTTAACTTCTTGGATTCCCTAAAAAGAAATTCATTCAATAAAGTTTAAAAAATTAAATTTGATAAAAAAATGTATTCCAATTTAAAAAGTATATACTTTCTTTGAAATATGACAAAAAACAAAAAATAACATTGGTCAACAAAATAAAAAATTTTGTTTGCCACAGGGAAGCCAAAAACTTTTCTAGGGTAATTTGGGTCCGATGATTTTATTTCGTTTTATTTTGCTTAGTTAGCCCTAATAACCATGGTTAAAATATCACATAGAGACCCTGTTCAAACCAAAAGATTTTTGTATTGGATTGTATGGTGTTTCTATATAGTGTATCGGTTTGAATAGGACCCATACTTGGGATTTATGGTTGTTATGTAGGAATATCCTTCCTTGATTTATTTATCAGTCTCAATAGGGAAAATACACATAAATGTAGAAAGGCCCAATAGGTTTTAACAAAATTTTCGTCAATGTTTTATGGTTGCTCTATAGGGATATTCCTAGGGTTGTGGAATTGACCGGTCAAATTGTTTTTCGTCAATTGACCGGTCAATTGACCGGTCAATTGACCAAAATAAAATGAAATAAAATATCAAAATAAATATTACTGTGATTTATTTCTACTTAATAAATAGGTAATTAAAATACGTTACCAAATTTTTTTTTATTATAAAAGTTATGTCCATCTTTAGAAACGTTTGTGCGGCTTTAAAAAGTTATGTTTCGCTATTAAAAAAGATATGTCCCGCTTTAAGGGCAACGCGCCGTCCGGCCTAGCAACCCCTCGACTCGGGGAACCACCAAATTGTAAATGATGTCGATATTGCACGATCGCAAAAATTTTGAGATTCACGGGTAATTGTTGATACCTAAATAAAATGCTGCAAAAATTAAATATATTTTGACCGGTCAATTGACCGGTCAAATAGGTAGCGGTCAATTGACCATCCCCAACTCTAGATATTCCTATAAATCCTTCTTTGAGTTATTTATCATTTTCAATAGGGGAAATAGATAATATAATAATAAGTTATCATTATTTATTTATTCTTATTTATTTTTATGTAATTACACTGTATTGTAACCAAAAAGTTTTCCCAACTGGTAGGTATACCCAAAGATATTATTATTAGATATTATTATCTTTGGGTATACTTACCTAAGCTATAGCCCTGTGTTTTTTATTTTTTTGTTATATAAAATGTATGTTTATTATATCTTATCATTTATATTCTAGAATGTTTGCTTACGTAAAATTTGTGAACGACGGCCTAACGCACACAGTGAATGTAAAGTAATTATAGTGCATGTTTTTTTAATTTTCTATTGAATATTTTTATTTATGTTCATCTAGGGCAGGGCGTCTTTCTCCAAGAACAAATTTATGAAACTGTTTGCTACAGTGCCCGCAAGAATAAAAACTACACCATGAATAGTATTTTTATCAAGGAAATGACAATGACAGTTTATGGAAGGATTACATTGGTGTAGTCATCTGTGACTGGCGGTGTGTAATAGTCTTTTACTAATACAAAGGGAAACTTGGTGTTACTATCGGTAATTACCTATATACATCATATAGGGCTGTATAACGGGATCTATAGGAATTCTACATCTTTATTTGGTATTTTCATAAGTCTATAGGGCTGTACAGGAGATTTTAAGTCATGGTATTTTTATCCGAAAAGCCCTATAAGAAGTTCAATAGGGCTTTATCGACAATTCCCTATAGAACCATATCGGTAGCGTATAGGTAATTCCCAATAAATTTTCTATCGGGCCGTATCCGGAAAAAGCTTGGATAAATGCACATATTGAATCCAGTAGCGCCCGATAGATTATTTTTTATAGATCTCCATTGGGTATTTTAAGCAGGGAATACCAAAAAAGAACTTGACCTAAACATAAGAAAACTGAGGGTTAAAACAATATACGTGCATTTTCGTAATGATTTCCTACCTACCAGAGTTCGTGTGACATGACCACTGTTGATGATTGTTAGTTTTGTCCACTGGATTTTGTCCTACGATCTAAGTTGTACAAGCGAAAATGACCGTAAATATAAATTTTGACACGCGCGGTTGTTTTGAGTGCAATTTTGTCAGTTCTTATATTATTACGTTGAAATTTTTTACACAATAAAGTAGACAAATATTAGGAATTTTTCCCAACACCAAAACACAAAGGGCTTAAAGTAATTTTTAGCCAACGATGTTGGCATCTTCAGAAGCGAAGTATAACTAAATTCAACTGCTAAATCTACCATATTTATACCAATTATATGCTAAGGTTGACTAAACCGTAAACGGACACAGTTTACTAAACCGGTGACCGTAAACGCTTCAGTGAACACGTAAAGAGAAACTAACAAACTAATTTATATAAACTAGAGTTGGGTACCGGTCCGTTATCGCTATTTAAACATTTATTTCTATTCTTATAGATGTATAAACTTTTATAACTATCTAGGAGACGTCTATAAGAATAGAAATAAATCTTTAAATAGATCTAGTTTGTATAAATTAGTTTGTTAGTTTCTCTTTACGTGTTTACTGAAGCGATTACGGTCCAGGGTGTAGTAAACTGTGTCCGTTTACGGTTCAACCTTAGCTTATAATTAGTATAAATATGGTAGATTTAGCATTTAGATTTGGTTACACTTCGCTTCTGAAGATTCCAACATCGTTGGCGAAAAGTACTTTAAGCACTTTGGGTTTTGTTTTGGTTTTGGGGAATATTTCTAATATTTGTTTAACATATATATATATCACCAAAGTTGTCCTTTTTCAAGTGACAATAAAGTAGAATAAATGAAGTCACAAACTTTTGTAAAATTTAGTAAAAACAGACAAAAATTGTTTGCAAAATAACACTTTAAAAAAATTGTCGATTTTATTTTATTTCGTTAAAAATAGTTTTTTTAAGGGAACCTCATAAATGTGTGTAATTATTTTTTTTTTTAGTTAAATTAGGACTAATAGCTTCATGATTAATGATCCTTAGGAGTCAATCCAAATGAAAACACCAAACATGAATTTAAAACAAGACTAACTGGACTAAAAAGATGAAGGTGGGGACTACATTTCCTGAAAGTTTCAGATTTTTATTTTTTCCTCAACATAATGATTTTTGAGGGCAAAATTGGCTAATTTTGAGAATTATCAATTTTCAATAATTTTTTTAATAAAGAAATTGATAGTCTAGAAACTTAAAATAATAGTTACGTTTTCTATTGTATAAGTACTTTATACCTGAAAAAAATGAACCTTCTAAATTCAGTAGAATAGGCACAGGAGCCAGACAAAAATCACAAAAATTGGCAAATTATCATGAATCTTTAGTGGTTTACCATTCTTTTATGAGATTAACTAATTGGATAATAATAATTTATATCGAAAACACACTTACTGGACAGTAAAACAAAATTAAAATTATTTCAATATTTGTCACAGAAAAAAAGTTCTGGCCCACTATAAGAGAGTAAGAAATTGACACTATTTCAGACTTCTAAGGGGTGCCAAATAAAAGTAAAGCAACAAAAAATTAAAACGGCAACGGATTTTCATATTTGACACCTAAAAGATCATCCTCAAATTTTTTCATCAAAATAAAAAATCACGCAGCGCACCCCATTTGGTGTTTTTATTTGGAATGACTCTTAGTTAAAGTATAAAGTACAGTGTGTCTACTTAAGTTAGCAACATATGGGACTTATTAATTTTACGAAGAAAAGTTATTCTTTATAAAAAGTTCTGCATGTTCTAAAATCTAAAATAAAATCATCCGATATCAATTTTTTTACTCATATACAAGGTTTGACAAAAAATATGAATTAGGTACAAGAGGAAAGTACCTTTTATTGTGACAATATCGAAAAATGTAATTATGAAATGTTGTTCGGAATGAAAAACTATGTTTTAATATGCAATTACATCCTTCTACTTAAACATTTTTAATTACAATTTTTTCTTAAATTACCAATTTTTTATTTATTACAAACATGATAACTTTTCTGTTGCGTTTAGAAAGTAATAAGCAAACTCTGATGTTCATTCAATGTCAAACAGTTTTTGCTATCAACAAATCATTTGTTGATAGCAAGAAATTACATAAATTGTTATTGTAAACAAAAAAGAAAAAATGATTTTTTTCATGTAAATGGAAGTAATTGCATATGTAAATATGGAACGCCATTGTATTTATAAGTCTACTATTTTAAATGTTAGTTTAAAATGTAATTCCACGTAATGATAACATCGAAATACCGAAAAATATTTCAGCGTTCCAGCTATGGAACGCCGAAATATTTTTTACTTAGATTGATATTTTTAATTCCTTAAATTAAAAATGTTATCTAGTCTTGAAAATAAGGATTTATAAAGACCGGTTAATACGTTTTATTTAGTTAGAATTAAAATTATCATAGTAACATATGGAACGCCGTTGCATTTTTTAATCGCGAAATTTATATGTCTGCAAGACATATAAAATCAAATAAAAAGCATTAAGTACTCATTTTAAATCAAATCAATTTAAAAAGTCTAAATATTTTTTCGTCAAGTAGTCATTTTAATTCAATTCATTTTAAACGTCATCTAATACGTGTAATTCGACATGAATTAAAAATATCATAATGACATATTAATTGCATTGAATTAAAAATATGCTTTGCATTTTTTTGTCATTTGAACATTTTAATTCATTTTATTTTAGAGGTTAATGTGATTTTTATAATTCTACCCCAATTAAAAATATCACAGTAACATGTTAAATTCAATGAAATAAAAACGTTTGTTAAATTTTTCTGTCGCTTTGATATTTTTAATTCGAATTTTTATGTCTAGTTGATTTTTTTAATTCGACTTTTTCTGTGTAGTTGTTATTTTTAATACGAATTTTTCTGTCTAGTTAATATTTTTTTAATTCGAATTTTTCTGTCTGGTTGATATTTTTAATTCGAATTTTTCTGTCTAGTTGATCATTTTAATTCGAATTTTTCTGTCTAGTCGATATTTTTTTAATTCCAATTTTTCTGTCTAGTTAATATTTTGAATTCAAATTTTTCTGACTAGTTGGTCATTTAAATTCGAATTTTTCCGTCCAGTCAATCATTTTAATTCGAATTTTTCTGTCTAGCCAATCATTTTAATTCAATTGTTTGGACACTCTGCACCTAGATGGCGATTGAGTGGAAATAGAGATGTGTCATTCGCGAATGGTTCTACCGTTTGAAGTACACTTTCGATACAAGGAGATGTAATCTCTTTGGTTTCGATATACATATATATTATTATGTTATATATTATTATGAAATTAAAAATAGACGCATTAATTTTTAACACTTGTATTTTGTAGTTTAATGGGCAGGTTATTTCAATGCATTGGCAATGGATTGATGGTTCCATCTTAGGTAGTTCTTTTGTATCACGCGAGTACTGTCATTTTTTTCTTTGAACAAAAAGTCAGAAACATTTTCAATGTTACAACGATATGTACCTACATTCTATACTTGAAATAATAAAATCATTCGCAATTGATTGACACATCTCTATTTCCACTGCGCCATCTAGCCGAAGTTAGTAGAGGTGGAATTAAAATGATTGACTAGACAAAAAAATTCGAATTAAAATGATTGACTAGACAGAAAAATTCCAATTTAAAATATCAACTAGACAGATAAATTCGAATTAAAAATATCAACTAGACAGAAAAATTCGAATTAAAAATATCAAATAGACAGAAAAATTCGAATAAAAAAAATATTAATAGACAGAAAAATTCGAATTAAAATGAATGACTGGACAGAAAAATTCGAATTAAAATGATTGACTAGACAGAAAAATTCGTATTAAAAATATCAACTACACAGAAAAAGTCGAATATAAAATATCAACCAGACAGATAAATTCGAATTAAAAATATCAACTAGACAAAAAAATTCGAATTAAAAATATCAAAGAGACAGAAAAATTTAACAAACGTTTTTATTTCATTGAATTTAAAATGTTACTGTGATATTTTTAATTGGGGTAGAATTATAAAAATCGCATTAACCTCTAAAATAAAATTAATTAAAATGTTCAAATGACAAAAAAATGCAAAGCATATTTTTAATTCAATGCAATTAATATGTCGTTATGATATTTTTAATTCATGTCGAATTACACGTATTAGATGACGTTTAAAATGAATTGAATTAAAATGACTAATTGACGAAAAAATATTTAGACTTTTTGAATTGATTTGATTTAAAATGAGTACTTAATGCTTTTTATTTGATTGCAGACATAAAGTTTCGCGATTAAAAAATGCAACGGCGTTCCATATGTAAACGTAGTTTTTAGTTCTGATCAACTTTTTTTAATAAGAATTTTCGATATTGTCAAATATAAAGGTACTTTACTCTTGAGTAAGATTTATATTTTTTGACAAACTGCTTATAAACAACTGAATTTTTTTTATATCTGCTGATTGTATTTTAGATTTTAGGACAAGCAGAACTTTTTATGAATACCTTTTTTTCTTAAAACTTAAATAATAAAAAAGTTTCCCATATGTTGTCATCTATGACTGTATATGAATTTGAATGTTTGCATACCTATTGAAAAAAATGTTTTTTGACAATATCTTGAAAACAAAGATTAATTGAGCAAAATTATGGTTATTTGGAAAATCGGCGCAACCAAATTTGAAATTACCATAGGAGAGTTGTTGGCCACCCTGTGGCAAAATGACTGTTGACCAGTTTAATAAAACCTACTAGTAAAAATTCTATAAAACTGATTCAGAAAAGAAATAAAGACTTTTTTAATCACAAAAATCTATAGATAAGTTCTTAAAAATCCAAGGGATCACAAATTTATCTAAAATACAAAAAATACAAATTAAGAAAATCATGAACTTACATGTCTTAGATCCTCAGTGAGGTCCTTCTCTTCATACTCATACCCGTCGTGTCTCAGTTTTACTCTAAAAACTAAGGCAGATAAAAGAGCAGCAACTTCAGCTGGCTTAAGCCTTGTTAAAATATTTCTCAGCACCAATTCGGTAATCAGCAATTCGTTCATACCCATCTCACAAGCAACCCTACCCTTCAATTGCACTAAAAATAATATTATTTAATGAAAATGCAAAGCATTTTTAATGGGTTATACTTTTGACTGCATCTTAAAAGGTGTTAACTTTGGAATTATAAAATGTATAGAATGTTGAAATTTCTGTGAGTAAATTCTTACCTCTGTTTTGGTTATCAACATAGTTGAAAATCCTGAGTAATTCTATTCTTTTTTCGTAGTCAGGATAAAGAATCAAACTGGCGTTGGATAAATTAAACTCCATGTCTTTTTTCTTTTCCTCCAAAAACTTTCGAGTAAAAACCGAGACGAATTGTTGCTCGAAATTCGGAATTTGAGTGGTGTGAATATGATCCACCATGGCGGTTTTCATGTGGTACATCATTTGTAGATTTTCGTATATTTCTTGCTTGTTCACTTTTAGGTCGTTAATGAAATGCAAGTATTCCAAATTGTTGACGGCTCTTTGTCTTTCGTTGGCTGCCATTGAAAGCTTTTGCAGTTCTTGTACTGCTTTTACGCAGGTTTGGCCTGGTGGATCAAATTTGAACCGGTCCATTTGACGTTTTTCCCAATCTTTAAGGACTAAATCTGTATCAACCTGTAAAAAACATATTTTTATAGGTTTATAATAGATTTTTTCAACAAAAGTAACTCACTTTAATTATTTTTCCTGTTATCTCAAATATATCAATTGGAGATACAGTCAACACCTCATGGTTAGGTGCTGTTAATGGCAAGAAAACTGAATCTTCCGCTAATCCAAGCATTTGGAACCACAGATCAGGTTTATCACTTTCCTCTTTGGCCGGATTTTGATCAGTCAAAATCAATACTTTGTATAATAAAGTTTTAGAACGCACTAAACTAAGGAGTAGGGCAAGTTTGTTTTTATAATTTTTGTATGTTATTAAAAGAACCCTGCCTGGTACCATTGTTTTTTGTAGTTTTATGTCAGATAGAACCCAAGACTAAAAAATAATTTTAATAGTAGTCTTGACTAAGAAAATAGAACATTACTTACTATTACTTCCTGTCTTTCCCTTAAGTAGTTACTCGCACTGTCGTAAAATTGAACTAAAGGTTGCAAATAGTTACTTAACTGCTGTCTTGAAAGATCATTTAACTGATTTTCCACTTCTTCAAGTTCCTTTTTGATGTCGACCATTTTTTTCTGGTGGTCAGCTTCTCTGAAACTTCTTGACATCATTCCTTCCACACTCAAGGATTCTACTCTGAGAAGACTTAAAACCTAAGAAAAAACAATTTTTTTGTGTATTTTATGTTATAAAATTTGCTGTTAGGGGAAAAAAACTAGTTTTGTATAAAAAAATTAATGTTTTTTCACTAAAATTGGATTTATTTATGAAAAATTCGTTTTTATATGGTATACGCCTCAAAATTAAGGTATAATTTTTAAAACTGACACATTTTTATCTTAAATATTTTTTATCAAACCTTGTATCTACATGGTGCACTAAGTAATATTAATTTATTATATATATACTACATATTATGTATGGGTATCTTTTTTATTTGAAAAGCTAAACGGTCGGTTAAATTAGACAAAAGTTGCGTAATTACAAGCCTATTTTAATTTCTCTGCTGAAAAGTTTAGTGTCCAGCCTTTTGCCGATATATACAAAAATATGTTGATTCCCTAAGCACCAAGTCTTGAAATTTGTTTTTTCTTATATTTATAAACATTTTTTCATAGAATAATAAAATAAGGAACGGAATATTTAGATAAGTTCATATGATGATTTTAATTTGTGTTTTGAATATTTGGTTTTATATATTTTTTAACTTTTACAAATAAAATAATAATTACAAAAATGTAGTTTTATTATTCATCTTTTTCTTTCACTAGAAAAATATTAGAACTAATTATCCAGTGGAAGTAACAAAAGGATCAGTACAATCCTGTAAACAAATTTAAACAATAATTTGAATATCTCTTTTTGACTACACCCGCTGGAGGGCGCAGAAGGGACAGAACAAAACTTTAATACTAAGTGGCCAATCAAACTGAACCCCCCCACCTATCACTTGTCTATGATTGAAAACATGTCAAAACCATAGATAACAAAACCAAAAGTCATTATCATAGATTAATAACATTGTTTTGAAAAAAAGTAAATTTTACATGTAAACAGAGCAAATAAATTGATTAAAAATGTAGATTAATGTGTATGTTTACATGTAACAATTACTTTGTTTCAAGATCCCAGGAATAACAAAGTTATAACGATTTTTGGTTCTGAAAGGTTTTTAGTTTTTTTCAAATACTTTGAAAACCTCTGAATTTTTTTTCAATTTATAAATTTCATGCTAATAGGCGTGTAATTACGCAACTTTTCTCTAATTTAACGGACCATATAAAAAATATAGGATACTTTGAAAACCTCTGAATTTTTTTTCAATTTATAAATTTCATGCTAATAGGCGTGTAATTACGCAACTTTTCTCTAATTTAACGGACCATATAAAAAATATAGGATACTTCACAATCCATGTTTGGATTGTGGAATACTTGATGCATCCTAAACGAAAGATTCTTATCACGTCTTTATAGAATACGAAATTCTAAAGAATCTTTTAATTATACAAGTTTTACCAAACATATTTATGCAAAAATAAACAGTGTGCGTTAATTTTTCGGCAAAGTGTAATAAATTTAAAAAACCTCTAAAATTAAAAAAGCATGAAATTATTGATATTTCTATACAAATAATTGAGGTTATGTAACGCCAATTTTGCCTGAAAATATTACATACCTACATAAAAAATACATAATTTCAGAAAATATGACGAAATTGAGTATTATTATAGAATCAAAAGCAGACATGTCCTCTGCTTTGTTATGCATAGAAGTTGTAATTACTGTATTACTTAATATTGTAGTTAAACATGGTGTCCCGAAAATGGCGCAATAACAACATACCAAGCGATAGGGGGGATATTTTAAAGAAAGTGAGTACTGCCACGCCGCGTTGCGTCATAACTATAAAATTATCGGCGCCCCGCGTTTCTTTATTGAACAAAATTTATTATTAGGGCTTTATAAGTAGCTCAGGTTAGTGCCTCATCACAATTCCGCGCGCGCGAACTGTGTAAAATTAGGTGAGCAGGACGTGGAGCGTCGCACCATTGTTATCTGGGTATATGTATTTGTCATATCTTCTGTACAAACACTTGTTTTTGGTAATTGTACTAAATTCTTTAATAAAACTAGACAAAGAATTGTGTTCAACTCTTAAGAAATGACCTTCTTTATTCGGATGAATTACTTCACTAGACTTCGGCTCGTGTCGCAATATTTCATCCTCATGGCAAAGAACAACTTTTTCATTGTTGAAGAATACTCCATTTTTTAATCATTGAACTGTGGAAAAAATTGAAAATTGACGGGTTACTATCCAATGAGACGACGTATGGGTAGTATTAATTATTAATGACGATTATACGACAGTTTATTGTTTTCTTTATTAATAAATTGGAAGAGACTAAGGTAAGAACCGTCTGACATTTATCAGATTTTATGGTAGTGATAAAATTTGGAAAAGTATACGCTAAAGAAGCATCGCTAGAAGCGCCACCACGTGGGCGTTATCATCGTAATCAGAATTCAGCTTTTAATAAGCAGCTGTCAAACGCGTATTTTACAAACGAGTGTTTTTGAGAATAAAGGCAAAAAATGTTAAAATAATCGAAAAAAAACGTGGAACGATTTGTTGTGTTGGGTGTTTTTCGAGAGGAAATCCTGGCTTGAGTTTTTACCGGTTTTCCAATAAACAGTGAAAATCCGAATGAAGAAATAAATTGCATACAGTCCCTGTAAATATAAATTGTACCTATTAGATACAATAAATACAAATTTTAATAATAATTTACGTGAAAATTGTAAAAATCATAAAAACAAATAGCTAGGTCGTCTAAATTCAAACAGCATTATGCATTATTAAAAGCGTTGATTAAGAAAGTCTTCACTCAACGGTATAATAGCAAGAAGTATGTATTGTATTTTAATGTATTATAATATTATGTTGCCATGAATTCGTAGGTATATTTTGTCGTTTAAAATGGAGTTGGTGGTGTTTTTTAGAGGACTCTAATATAAAAATGTTCGATTTTAAGGTTATGTTTGTACAACAATTATTTTTTGTTAGATTTCTTAAAAATGTTTAAACTTAAATATAAATTATATTGGGTAAACTTATTATTACACTTAGATGAAATACACACACTAACGTAACTATATAAGCATATAAGCGTTGAGTTTCTTAGCCAAAGTTTTTTATTTTTTACTTGTACCGCGAAACACAAATAACGTGATCGATTTAGCTGTGCAATTGAACAAAATCTGTCGAGAAAAGCTTAATTTTCATGTATTCGTTTGTCCGTCATCCGTTTGTCCGTTTTTTAATAAAATCGTCCGATAAGAAATATTCTAATTTTCATGCATACGTTTTTTAATGACGTTTAACGGATTGATTTGGCGACAAATAGAAATTAAGTGTCAGTATATTCACTTTACTAAATTTACCTAATGCTTAATTGTCATAGTTACAATTATGTCAACAATTGTAACTTTAACAGTTAAGGTACGGATTCGTTGATGCGACTCGCGGCTGCGGCTTGCGGCTGCGATCGTAGCCGCTCCACTGCTTAGTACAATTTGTTTGTATGTGTTTTGGTTGACGCGTTCAATCGCAGACTGCGACTGATAGCGCCAACCAAAACATATGCACACAAATTGTACTAAGCAGTGGCGCGGCTAAGGTCGCAGCCGCAAGCCGCAGCCGCGAGTCGCATCAACGAAACTGTACCTTTAGCTGTCTAATAAATTTATTTCCACCTTCTTTGTAAATGACATTTTATAGGTTAATTTTGTTGTTTTTGTATCCAAGTAAACGATACATTATAGGAACAGAAATGTAATATTTTACGGGCTTGTATAAAAGACCTGTAAAGTTTTACAGGCTTGTAAAAAGCAATTTATGAAATGAAATGTCACATTTGACATATTAATTAAAATTTTAAATTTGAAAATCGTTATCTAAAGGTGAAAATAAAAGTTTGTACGTGTCACGCTTTGCAATTAATCTTTACTAGGCTCACTGGATTATGTGGTTCGCTCCTGCGTCGCTCACCCCACAAACTTCCAGCTCGCCCGTAAAGATTCATTTACAAAGCTTGACACGTAAATAACTATTAAAGGTAGGTAAATATACCTTATAAAAAGAATATACTAGCCTTAATGTACATTAAAATGTATAGTTTTAAACAATCAGGTCCTTTTAATTTGTTTTTTTCCGTTATTCTTAAATAAAAACATAACCGTAGAACATTATTCACATAACGAATGTAATATTTCCGTTCTACAATCTTATTGAAAAAAATATAAAAAGATTTGAATATAAATTATCTTAAAATAACGTCAAAAACAGATGTGTAGTGACGGATGAGTTAAAATTATTTAACCTTTCTCTGTCAGACGTACGCAGTTGAAACTTGACGGACCGATAAAATGTCATAATTTTCCAATTATAATTGGACCAATAAGAGCGCTCCCGGATGAACGGACTAACGGATACATGAAAATTAAGCTTAAGACTTCTGCCTTCCTCTCTTTTGTGATAAACTACTTATTTATTTAAAATTGATGCGCAGTTCGTATGCTTATATGTATTGTTGAGATTTCTTGAACACCACCAGATGGCGCGCGCGTTGCGAAAACCCGATGCTTCTTTAGCGTATACTGTTGAGAAATTCCATTCGAATAAATTACTGCATTTACTTAAACATTGTTCTACTGTTCCAAAAACAAAAAAAAAAGTTTACTCACCATTCCATAGGTTATTCTAAACTTGCTGACCAAAGAGTTGGGTTTGCCTTGCATCATTCTCTTCAAACCGTCCTCGTTGGGAACGGAAGTTTTGGCGAGCAGGAGAACGGTACCCTCCTTGTCCAGTCCTCTTCGGCCCGCTCTGCCCGCCATCTGGATATACTCGGCCGGTTCAAGGTCGCGCAGCTCTTTGCCGTCGTGCTTGCGCACTGAATCGAACACCACAGTGCGTGCCGGCATGTTCACGCCCATCGCGAACGTTTCGGTCGCAAATAGAAGCTAAAAATGTTTTGAGGATTAAACTCAAAGCCTTTTCTGGTAAAACGATGAAGTCAGTTTCCATAATTTGGAACAATTAATTCAACATTTTTAGCTTAACTATAATACCTACAAGGTGGCGCAAAAGTCATACTTCCTAGGGCTATATCTTTTTTGTAAAAGAAAAAAATCCGTTGGGTTTGTGAATAATTTTTATTTGGATTTTAATTTTTTTCCTAAAAATAATAAAGGCAGAGTTTTGGGCGCGGCAATGACATTCCCATTTCTTCTTTAATCAGCAACAACATTCTGCTCGCGATATTTCTCGTTCGCTTAATTTTTCGTTTTGGTAATTTGCAAACTGCCCCAGACTTTTTTCTTTGAGGTTATATATGTACATCAAAATTATAGCCTTAGGAAATCGGGTATAAGCGTATACGCGCTTTCTAGGTCTGTTAGTTAATGTACTATTATTAGCTTTATTAATATTATTTTTATCAGTTACATTATGTAACTTACATACATCAGACAATCATTCAAAAGTAGAACATTCGGCTTATGGTATGAGAAATATAAAACATATTATGTCCTCAATCAGCTTTTTAAAGCCTTTTTAAGGCTTTTAAGCTTTGAAAGCCTAAAATTTTGTACATTTTAAAATTTCATGTAAACATAAAAATTAAATATATATATAAATATTTTGTAAATTTTAAAATTCTTTGGAAATTTTAAAATTCTGAATATTCTAAACATTTTGGGATTTTTTAAAAGTTTTGTACATTTTCCCCACAATTTTTTAACTTTGAACTACAGTGCGAATTTGTCCTACTATTTTTAATTTTGAACTACTGTGAGAATTTGTCCTACCACTTTTTAAATGTATGCCAATGTGCGAATATTCTAATATGACAATTGTTTCATCTTTCATAACACCAAGCAGTATTACCAGATCAGGGGTTTTCCTCCTAGATTTGTTTTTGTTTTAACGTTCGGGGGGTGTTTTAGGGGGACGAAGTTCTTAGGGGGATTTTTAGGGGGATACAAAAGTTCTTTGGGGGATTTTAAGGGGATTCACCACTAATCTAGGTTTTTTGTGTATGTAGTGATATTTCTAGGGATATTTAAAGGGAATTTTCTGTAAAATATTGAAAAAGTCATTCGAAATTCGATTTTGTCGACGAAATCATCGACAATTGTCCTATGATCTGTGCGTTTGTCAAAAGGCTTTGAGAAATACTTGATGTAAATATAATACTATGAGTATTAATACTTACTATAATTTAAGAATTATCAGTATTATACTACCAAGCTAAGCACAAAGTCCCATCTACAATATTTAGTAATAAATGACAAGATTATTTTTATTTTATATAACTAAAATACTAAAATTGTATTTAAGGTAGGTATTATTAGTAATATACTGCCAAGCTAAGCACAAAGGTCCAATCTAGAATATTAAATAATATAATAAAGGACAAGAATATTTATATTTATCACCCCCATACTTAAATTTAATTTAAATTAAGTATAATCAGTATATTATATTGCCAAGCTAAGCACTAAGGTCCTATCTATTAAAAGACAAGATTATTTAAATTTTTTTATCACCCCAAATAAAAAAAAAATTATGCGAATTTTTCTTTACATTTTACACTGTAAAAATCTAAAATTTTAAAGTTCAATATTAAGGGGGGGGGGCACTGAATTCTATGGGAAAATCGAGCCCCATCTGGATGATTTAGGTGGACAATCTGGCATGAAATGAAAAATGACTTACTTTTATCAGTCCATTTTGGAACAACATCTCAACAATCTCCTTGATAATAGGCAAAATCCCGCTATGGTGCACGCCGATACCCCTAAGCAAAATATCCTTCATCTTTAAAATCTGTGGTATTTCTCTATCGGGTTCCTTTAAACATTTTACCGACTTATTAAAGAACATCATTATTTGAGCCTTTTCAGATTTATCGGTTAGATCCAATTTCGAAAGGTTGGTAGCGTTTATATCGCATTTTTGACGAGAAAACGTGAACACTATAACAGGCAGAAGTCTATTTCTGCTTAGGTGGTCTATGAGACCTGACCACAAAGTTTTTTCCATTTGAGGGTTTAGGTTGTATTGATGGGCGTTTGGTTTTTGGACTGCGTCCAGGGTTGCTTTTGCCTTAACAAACCTAACATCAAAAATATTTTTTTAAATTTACTGTAGAAAAATGTAAAATTTAATAAAAAACAAAATTACATAATATTTTAAACAGTTCTGATATAAAAAATGTACAACTCTTAAATATAATGAAAAACATATATCGTGCGTAAAACACACTTTTCGTACTAACATTCAATAATTTAAAATATTAGTTTCTTAACATTACTGGAAAATTTGAGAAAATCGTAGGATCAAAATACAATTTTTTAATACATGTTAAAAATCTCATTTTTAAACAAAAAATTGTACCAAAAAAAACATCAAAACAATTTTAACACTTAAAACAATTAATCGTTGTTAAAATTGTTTTGATAGGTTTTTTGGTTTGATGATTATAGTATAGTCACAAGTTGTGTGACTCACAACAGGATATCTCAATATTAAAAAATCATGTATTAAACACGTATTCTCATGTGAGGACGCTAGAAGCCAAGGGATATAAGTGACTATTTCCCTCGTCTTAATTTCCACCAATCACAAACACGCAATTTTGAATTACAAATGGTTTCTAGGTGAAAAAACTGTGTGACAGGTCCTGTCAGCAGTTTATTCGAGTTTACCCGCGGCAAAACTTGACAGCTGCTGTCACCAAAAATTGCAATTTATATTTTAATTGTTAACTGTTACTCATGAAATAGTCTTGTCAAATACCATTCGGGCATCTAATTTTTCCTGTGAAAAAAATCGAAAAAACACAATGCTAAGTAATATTTTTTAACAAAATGCATTGGTGCAGGTGCAAAAATCCTCCTCTTCGACTCGGATTTTTGTTGCCACCAGCACTCATGCTTTTTGTTAAAATATTACTTAGCAACGTGTTTTTTCGATTCTTTTCGGAAAAATTAAATGCCCTTATGATATTACTTACGACTATTTCCCTCGTCTTAATTTCCACCAATCACAAACGCGCAATTTTAAATTACAAATGGTTTCTAGTTGGAAAAACTGTATTACAGCACCTGTCAGCAGTTTCTTGGAGTTTACCCGTGGCAAAACTTGACAGCTGTTGTCACCAAAAATTGCAATTTATATTTTAATTGTACCATAAATAATTAAGTTTGTAGTATTTTGTGATTAAATAAATTACCTATTTTTCAGTTTTCAAATTAATACCTACATATTTATTATGTATGCATGTATAATAGGTAGTATGTTTTGTAAGCAGAATAACTGTTACTCATGAAATAGTCTAATTTTTCCTGCGAAAAAACACAATGCTAAGTAATATTTTTTTAACAAAATGCATTCGTGCAGGTGCAAAAATCCTCGTCTTCGACTCGGATTGTTGTTGCTACAGCACTCATGCTTCTTGTTCAAATATTACTTAGCAACGTGGTTTTTCGATTTTTTCGGAAAAATAATTTTTCAAAAATTAGATCCCCTTATGATGTACAGAATAATGGGGATATAACTTAATTTTAAGCTTAGACATGTAGAAAAACCAAGTCATAAAACAACAAACAATTTTGACTCCAAATTAAAAGTGTTTTTTACTTTAAAAATTAATATCTCAAAACTAAACAAAATGTACTTATACCCCTTAGCTTCTAGATTCTAGATAATTTTTTTAGATATTTTCTTACCCTGCTTTGACCCAAGTGTTATTGTCCAAAATCATGAACCTATTGTCTCTGGTGGAGCCCCCTCTGCCGGTGTAGAGGAAGTGCTGCAACGGCACCGGCCTCTGATAGGTGCAAACCACGTACACCTTTCGCTGATGCGTCCGTCCCAGCCAATCGGCGAATTCGATTGGGTTGGGGACGGTTGCGCTGAGCAGCACTACGCATACGTGCGCTGGCAGTAGGATTAATACTTGCTCCCAAACGTGACCGCGCTCTCTGTCGTTGATGTAGTGAACCTTGGAGAAAAAACAGAGGGTTATTTATTGAATTTTTTGTATCAAGCATTTTCGTGGAAAAATTTGAGTGTTTCGAAACACAAGACACTTTCAATGTGAAAATATTTGGAAACTAGCTTTTAATTAATAAATTATAAAAGGAATAAATGTACATTATTATTATAATAACAAAAATTAAACATATTAAATATTAAAAAATATTATTTTGTAAATTTATGCTAATAATACTATTAATATTTGGGCCCTAAATAATCAATACAGTAATGAGCAAAAACGAGCTAGCGATTTTGTTTGCGCAATTTTCTACTAGGATTGCCAACTTAACAAAAAAGTCCTAAAATCTTCAAGTTAAAATTGTGTGAAATAAAAGTCCAAAACCAAAAAGACGTTAAAACTTATTAGGGACTTAAACCAAGGAGCCTACACAAGGAGTACAAACTGAACAAGGGGAATTGACAGAACCTGGCTAGTAAATCGCACAAATTACGTTTTCTTTTTTCACCACTAGCGGCGCTGATTTCCATTTTCTACTAGTCTGCCTTAAGCAGGTATAATATACTCCTACATTGTTTCTGTACAATTAGGGTCGCCAGATGCCGTGTATTTTAGGGGTTACCCCGTATTTCAGCCTATACGCTAAAGAAGTATCGCTAGTAGCGCCACCACTCGGCTGTTATTATCGTAACAAAAGTATGATAGTCAAACGCGTGTGTTACAAACGAGTGTTTTTAAGAATAAAGCCGGAAAATGTTCAAAAATATCGGGAAAAAACCGTGGAACGATTTGTTGTGTGGTTGGGTGTATTTTGAGAGGAAATCCTGGGTTAAGTTTTTACCGGTTTTCAAATAAACAGTGTTAATCTGAAAGAAGAAATAAATTGCATACAGTCTCTGTAAATATAAATTGTACATATTAGATACAAAATAGGTACAATTTATATTTACAGAGACTGTATAGATACAATAAATACACATTTTAGTAGTGATTAACGTGAAAAGTGTAAATATTTTAATTCAGTAAAAATTGTCAAACAAATAAGTCGTCTAAATTTAAATAGTATTTAGCATTATTAAAAGCGTTGATTAAGAAAGTCTCCACTCAACGATAAAATACCATTATATAATGTATTATATATATTATGTTGCCATGAATTCGTAGGTATATTTTGTTGTTTAAAATGCAGTTTTCGGCGTTTTTTAGAGAACTTAAATATAAAAATGGTTGATTTTAAGGTTATGTTTGTGCAAAAATTATTTTTTACTAATTTCTTAAAAATGACCAAACTTAAATATAAATTATATTAGGTAAAGTTATCATTAGTTAATTCTGCATCAACAAAATTTAATAAGTACATTTAATATACTTACCGAATTGGATCCTTTAGCAAAACATGAAAATGCAACGATTTAGGTAGTTCTTGAATTTTATTTCCAATTAAAAACACGATAATTCACAATGATCCCTTAGATAAAATACACACACTAACGTAACTATATAAGCATTTAAGAGTTGAGTTTCTTAATCAATGATATAAGGAATAATCAATCAAAATCGAGTACTAAAAAAGTTTTTTAATTTTTTCCTTGCAACGTAAAACACAAATAACGTACGTGCGCGATTTAGCTGTGCAATTGAACAAAATTTGTCGAGTAAGACTTCTGCCTTCCTCTCTTTTGTGAAAAAACTACCTATTTATTTAAAGATGATGTATAATCTCTGCTTTAAATCTATTGTTGACAATTCCTAAATTCACGCAATGCAATCGAAGTCCACCAGATGGCGCGCGCGTTGCGAAAACCCGATACTTCTTTAGCTTATGGCTATATAAGAACCTGTAATTGGCAAAATAAATTACGGGGTAAACATTTTTTTTTATACATTTGCTTAACAAAAGCTGTTTTACTAAACATTAAATATAAATTTAAAAAAAAAGAACAGGATTTGGTCATAAAACAATGCTGTTTTAATTGCCTCCCGTAAAAAAATCTAAAACCCGTATTTTTGAAAACCAAGCCCACTTATTTTGGTAAGCCTTGGTATACATGAAGTTTGTACTCCTTATGTAGGCTCCATAACTAAAATCATGCAGCCTAGGCTAGGCCATGACTAAAACAACAAACTGGCGCATTTGTCATCTGTCATTCCACAGCTGATAAACATTGACTAGGTAAATTTTGTTTTTTATCTATTCGGAATTTGACACATTTGATTATGTATAATAATATACTTTGGTATTTTTAATATTTAAAATTAGTACTCTTCTGTTCAATGCCTTATTTTACTTTGATATTTATGATTCAATTGTTGGAATTATAATAAAAAATAAGATAACAGAAAATTATAAACAAAAAAAAATTTTAAAAACAAAGCAGCATTTTAATGCATAAAATTTATGCCATAAATCCACTAAATTATTTCGTTTTACTCAATGTTGCCAATTATAAATTTAGGGTCCCTAAAATTTGCCAACTAAACCCCCAAATTTTTGACGTCAAATTCCGAATAATAAAAACAGACTAGCAAACAAAGTTTTTACTAAAACTTTTTAGTTTGAAAATTTGTAGATTCCTACATATCCTTTTTCTATGCTACAAAAGTTGCTACAACTTTATTGCATGCATAGCGTGAACATAAAAAATCGCTTGTTGGAGCGTCGAAATCGCTGCGAGAAGTTGCATAGTCAGAAACTGACTTTGTCTAAACAGTGGCCCAATAAAAATGTCGATATAGGTCGCGAGATGGCGCGATATTTAATTAATGTAGGTATTTTAAGTAATTCCCAAAATTTTGAACTTACCTCATCAAAAATAACATACTCCAAATCCCTAGTAATGTCGCTGCCACAATACAGCATAGACCTCAAAATCTCAGTGGTCATAATCAAACAACAGGCAGTCGGATTTATTTGAAAATCTCCAGTAATAAGCCCAACATCCTCAAATTTTTTCTTAAAATCCCTGTACTTCTGATTCGACAAAGCTTTAATAGGGGATGTATAAATAGTCCGAGTCATATGTTTTTGTGATAGTGCTATAGCATATTCTGCTACCACAGTTTTACCAGCCGACGTATGTGCAGCCACAAAAACATGGTTATGTTGTTCCAATTGTAAAATGGCCAATTTTTGAAAAGTATCCAACTCAAAGTCATACTTTATTGCCATTTCGGGTATCCTTTCTTTAAAGTTTTTCACTGGTTGTGTGCTGTCAAGTAAAATGGCCCATTCAGTGCCCTTAGGAGCATGAGGTGGAGGTAGGGAACTTATATTAAGCACGGGAGTACTTTGAGGTAGAATGTCTTCTTCTTCTGGTGAGGTTTCAGAAGAATTGTGTTGTGATTTTTGCAAATCTTCAGATTTCTCAATGACATTGTCCCAAACATCTAAAAGAAATTTAAAATAATAATTTTATTGAAAAAAAATTGCATTCTTACTTAAGAGATCTTGTTCTTCTTGTACTAAATCCAGTAAATTAATAACATTTTTTGCTTCCAACATAGTTTTAACTTCACTGGATGTTCCATTTTCAACCACAGTAAAACCATCAGGGCCAAATGTTAAGCCTCTATCAAAACCAGGTGGTACCGTTAATAAATCTGCAAAATTAAGACATTTTAAAAATGTTGTTTGTATTTATTAGTATATACAAATATTTGTATTACCTAGTAGGTAATACCTACCTAGTTTAATTTGAAGATTTCATATTTTTTTAAACATAATTTTAATGAAATCACAAATTAAGTAAAAATTGATAAAAAGCAAAATCAAATAAATAAATATATATAAGAATAAATCTGGCGAGATAAAAATTTAAAAAGAAAGATTGTCCTTTTCATATATTATTTAAAACTTATTTATAACTAACTCACCTCCAATGTTAAAATCAAGATTTGTCTTCAAAACATCATTTTCAGGTTGGGAAAAGCTCCCAGGCCAAAAAGGAATATACGAAGCATTTCCCCTAGTTGCCTCAGTAGGCGGTGCAGGAGCTCTATTAAATGACATTGAGTTTTTAGCCGTAGCCCCTGCAGAGTCGATACTAACTTCTCTAAACCCTGTAATCTTTCCAGTATTTAAATCTCTTTGAACCTACAAAATAACACTAAACAATAAAAAAATGTAATTTGCGATGTAAAATGAAAATTAAATGTTTTGTAAGTAAAATTTTAAGTACCTTTAAGTTTGTACTCAGTGGAGATCCTTCAAAATATAATAATTCCTCTATATTTGGATTTCTAGGCCAAAATTCTTGATTTTTTTCATATTGATGAATTGGTAGGTTTTCGGGACTTGTTATGTATTTTTTTAAATCCTCCTCGATGTCCGGTAAAATAGGTGGAGGTTCCATTACTTATTTACTTGTTAAATCAACCTTAATAGAAGAAAAATAAAGATTTTTTTGTTCGGTTAAAAAGCGAGGTTATGTTTTGCTGTGTTGCCAAATTTATGCATAATTTAAATATTTTAACTAAGATTATATTCTTATGAGATTATAATCATCTTAATTTTAACAATTCAATAATAAAATGATATATATCTACTCCTATATTGACGAGCTGTGACATGACTTTATGGAGTTTAGTCACGGGCTGAAGATAGCAACAGTGGCTTTTGGGCATTTTAGCCACGGGCTGAAGTTGGCTTTATTAAAAATTGGGAAAAAGTGAGGTTAAATCCGAGTGACAGTTGTACAAAACTTGTTTTGTGGACATGTCCACAACTGCAGTTGTCAGATGTCAAAAGTTTAACAAATAAAATTGGCTTTAAATTATTTTTGTGTTCGTCGTAGATAAAGTAGGTATATTATGCAACTTGTTTATTAACGTCTCTTCACACTCATTTTTATTAAACACTCTCTCGCAAGCTTCGCTTGTGCCTTTTAACTCGTAACTAAAATGGTGTTTATAAAAATGATACCTAATACAATATACATAATCATAATACATAATATACTAATTTTGATTGTTAATTTTTCTCCAAAGGATTTGATAATAATTATTTATTTACATTCTTTAACAAAATAAATATTTGTATACTTAAAAGTTTGCATTTTAGAATGTTACAAAAAATATATAGGTAATCAAATAAATATTTTAAAAATATAATTATACACAAATATTTAATAGTAAAAAATAGATTTGAATATCGATATTCAAATCTGGTTACTTTTGTTTTTGCAGTGTTGTCGTTTTAGTTAGTTGCATGGCCGATTGGCCGGGTGTTGTATTTTTTAGTGCTAAACCACTCCCGGTATTAATTTAGGTGTAAAACAAGCACAGGTAATTAATTAATGCTAAAAATAAATACTATTTATCTTAAATTAATTTATAATTCAACAATAGCGCCCAGTTAGGTTGATTATTGGAGAAATTTCTAGTGACGTTCTGTAACTTTAAATGTCAATTTAGAGTTATGGAGAATGACAAAATTGCCAAAATTCTTGTTTTATTACAAATAAAAAGTTAAGTTATAGTTATGGATTTAAAAGGTGAGTGATTTATCATTTTGTTGGTTTATTTTTAGACCAGACGCGTTGGTTATCTTTTGGTAACGGTACCGTTTGAGGAAAAAACCGGTATGAAGATGTTTTTTTTCCTCTATTAGTGTGCCGATATTTTTCGGTTTCCGGTTATTTTATGTATCCCCACGTGCAACATTAATTTAATTTGTCAATATTACCATTTATTAGCGAATTAACGAATTATTTGTAATTGATTATTGTGCAATATAAAATATGTAATTGGAATCTTCAGGGATCCTTGGTAATCTTTTTACACAAATGGTAAATGTCAGAAACTATTGTGAAACTTTTACTTAAGGAGAAAACATGTTAAAAAAATTAATCAATAACCACTTGAAGAATACACAAAAAAGTTTAATCAATAAGAAAAAGGTCAATTTGTTATAAATATATTCACCCACATTTTTGTTGAATTAATTTTTTATCAATACGCTTTTCACTGGTTAAAACATAACATCTACCTAAGTATATAATATTTAGTTTTACTGTGGCATAAGAATATATGCTGTGGTTTTACAAAGAAATGTTATTTGTAAACATTTATTTTTTGAATTTCTTTACATTTACATTTAAAAAAGTTTCAACATGAATTATGATTTAACTAGTAATGAATCAACTTAATACCTACAATAACTGTTTATCTATTTTAATGGTATAATTAAATTAGTTTTAATAGACCATTATAATTAACTAATAAATTATATTTATTTTACTTTGCTTAATTTCAGTAAATTTTTAACAATAATTTTAGACCTTTATGATTTTATTTTTACATTTTATTTTAATTTTTTGGTACCTATCAAGAACTAAATAAAATAAATCAGCAGGTCAAAAACCTTATTTTTTTTTTAAACCTCTTAAAAAGTATAATTGTACAGTCCTGTGTAATTAATTATTATTTATTTTTTTTGATGCCACACCTTTAGGCTTATGAATCATAATTTATAACTTTATCAAAAACAGTTAAAAAAGTGGCATTTGTTTATCCAACAAGTGCCCATGATTGCCCATCAATTATTTTGTCCATTTCTGAAATAGAAAATACATTTTTAAGGTCATCAAAAAATGTAGTATTTTTTAACAGTTTTACCCACCTGACTAAAAATTTTTAGTCTGCGAAATATTTCTACAAAATATTTTTAAATTTAAATACTATTTGCATATTGGGTATTTTCATTGTAACGGGTGCGACACTGATACTGCGTTTTTTCATGATAATAAAGTGTTTGTTCAGATATATCAAGATACGTTAATACGAGTATACAAAAATATAAAATAAATATAATATAAAAATTTAGATATTTAACTCAAACAAAATGTCAATAAAAACTTGTATAGAAAACCTTTTATAACGTCATGAATCGCGTAACGGTCCCGACATTAGAAAATCGGCAAATGCGACAAATTTGGATAAAAGCATATACCTACTAATAATTTTTTGTGTAAAACTTCAATAGTAACCTCAAACAAACATGTATTTTAAATGCACAAATATTGTATACTTTATTTTCAAAAAATTTCTCAAAATGTAAGTAACGGGTGCGACATTTTAACTTTTTATCGAGTATTGAAACTCTTCCGTGTTTATTCCCAAAGTTAGCTTCTTAGCATTACAATGTACAAATATTTTAATGTTATAAATTAGGTCGAAATTAAACTATTTGACTTCAGATATAGTTTTTGTTTTGTTAAATACCACATCTGATTTTTTGTCAAGGTGGGGTAAGGTTTCGCGGAAATACCCGATTATCTTAAAATAATGTAAAATTAAAAGTTACTAAATGGAATCAATACGTTTAAAAATATATGTAATAGGGCCGTGCGCAGGATTTGCTCAAGGGGGGTTACCAAATTTCATAAAAAAAGAAAGGAGCTGTACAAATGGATCTACTATGCTTCACATCCAGCAAGCCTAAACGTGACATTTTAATACAAATAAATGAGGTTATCTATGTCAGTTTAACGCTACTTTCGTCTTATTTTGGGAAAATAATACAATATAGAACTAGAATTAAACCAATAATCAAGTTTTTTGTCATAAACGTCAACCAACAAAACCTTTTTTCCTCAGCAAAAATGGCGGTAAACGTATACTCGACAAATGTGACGTCAGAGAACCTGTCCAGACATGACATGTTAGCGTGGGTGAACGAATGTTTGCAGAGCAACTTCGGCAAGATCGAGGAGCTCTGCACGGGCGCCGCCTACTGTCAGTTTATGGACATGCTCTTTCCGGGTTCAGTACAATTGAAGAGAGTGAAGTTCCGGACCAATCTGGAGCACGAGTACATCCAGAACTTCAAGATTTTACAGGCCAGTTTCAAAAAGATGGCTGTCGATAAGGTAAACAATACACTACTGCCGTTTTTACTATTAAGTGTTTCAGGTTTTTGTAATTTTATTATATTGGGGCCTTTCCATCTGAAATTGACCAGGCAAAAAGGGGTAGGTCGTTATTTAAAAAAAAAAATACAGTTTCTCTACCGAAATCGATGAGACCCGTATATTTTCTTTTTGGTTAAATTTGTCTCGTTCGCCTGTAGGAAGAAATTTTTAAAAAATGGACAGAAACATCGATTTTTTTCTTTTTAAGAGTGACATTTTTTCTTAATAATGCGATAACTTGTCCAAAAATTAAGTAAATTTACTCATTTTGTTTTTTCTAAGAGCAAAAAAAATTGAGGTCAAAATTTTGACATTGCCACATTTTTTTTTACCAAGTTGGCTAAATTCGTCGTATCGGAATTATTATTTTTTTAATGAAAATATAATTTTCTAGTAAATTTGTGGCTCAAAAATTTGGTATTTTATCTAGGGTCATGAAACTGGGGTGACCTTTATAAAGTGTAATTTAATTTTTAACATATTTAACATATTTTTGTCACTTTCGGTTTTTACATATTTCGATTCAAAATAAAATTCTGAATACATACATATGTCATTTGTCAATTTTTGACAGGTCAAATCATTTTTTGATTAAATTTTATTTCTATATCTGGAGTGCCTTGAATTGGCTTTTCTGCTTCATGTTGGGCCAAGTAGTCTGGACAAAATAAAGTTTTATTCTTTTTTTGCAATGCTAGTTTCAAAAATTGAAAAACTTTATGCCAAAACTATTTTGTTTGTTTGTTTTCATAAAAGAAATCCACTTTTTGTAAATTGGATATATTTATAATTAATAATTTGGTATACAAATATTAATACATTTTTTAATAAGATCACTTTCAAACTCTTAATTAAATTTAAATGTTTATTAGTGTGTACAGAAGTAAATAAATTAAGAAGGCTTTAAAACCTTTGTGTTTAAAAAAAGTATCAGATTTGACGTTAGTTTGTTTTGCTGGTAAGTGAATATTAACATTTTATTTTTCTATGAAAACATACGCTTAAACTTTTTATAAAATAAAATAAAAATAATAATTAAGGTGGTAAAAATTAAAGTGGAATAAGTAATTGCTCAACATTTTTTGGTTTTAAAACTACCAAATAAGATCATTCAAATATTTTGAAACAATTATAAAAAATTATATCTAACTGCCCCATAACACTATTGTAGGGAATCTCTGGCAATAAATAAAAAAACGAAATATGAAATCAAATAAAAATTTGTTATTTCTAAACATAATTAACCTGCTCATTAGTTTCTGGACCTCTTAGGCTTAATACTTATTTTCCTTTCTGATAGAGCCTCAGTTAAAAAGAGTTTTGCAACTGCCTCACTCATATCTGTTAAACGACCAAAATGTGTTGTACATTTCTTCAAAATCGCGTTTTTATAAATTGCTTGTGCATTCGATTCATTACTTTTAGGTATATAATACTTACTTTTTATTATTTTAACCAAAATTAACTTGCATATACTTTTTAAATCTTTAAAAAGTAACACATGCAAAAATATTAAGAATTTACGTTTTACTCTAAAATATTTAATAATTTAATTTAATACCTTAAGAGCATTTCCGGTGAAACCAGAAGTGACAAAAATATGTTAAATACACTGCCCGTCAAAATTAACGCATAATAAGAAGAAAAAAATTAACTCTAAAACGCCTTTACCTATCTTTATGAAATTTTGTATAAAAATACTTGTATCTCAGTTTACGTCTTCGAGGGTTTTTCGAGAAAATATTTTTAAAGCCCTTTTATTTAATAATAAAAAACGTTCAAAAAATAACTTTTAGGGATTTTTTTTAACTAAATAAAAAATTGCTGTTTTTTTGTTAGTATACCCTGAAAATTTTGTACAAATCAAATGAACAGTAACAAAGATACAGCGCTTCAAAGTCGGTAAAAATGACCCCTTTTTGATTATATTGCTGAAAAATGGTAATTTTTGACGACTTTGAAGCGCTGTATTTTCGTTACTGTTTGTTTGATTTTTACAAAATTTTCAGGATATACTAACAAAAATACGGTCTTTCACAATATAGTTTTTATTTACTCAAAAAAATTTTTTTTAAGCGATTTTTATTATTAAATAAAAGGGCTTTAAGGATATTTTTCGTAAAACCCTTGAACACGTAAACTGAGATATAAGTTGAAGTATTTGTATACAAAAATTTCATAAAGATTGGTAAAGGCGTTTTAGAGTTAGAATTTTTTTACTTATTATGCGTTAATTTTGACTGGCAGTGTATGTCAAAAAATTTTAAATTACACTTTATAAAAGTCACCCAGTTTTCATGGCCCTAGATAAAATAACAAATTTTAGCGATAAACCACGAATTTACTAGAAAATGGTATTTTCATTAAAAAAATAATAATACCGAAACGACGAATTTAGCTAACTGTGGACTTTTGGAGAAAGTTATTCATATTATCAACTTTAAACGAAAAAAAAATGAAGTAAAAAAAATGTGGCAAAGTCAAAATTTTGGCCTTATTTTTTTTGCCTTTTTTAGAAAAAACAATTTACTTAATTTTTTATATATTTTTTTGTATGTAGTAAACATTTACCTACAATTTAAAAAAAATTGTAATGATCAAAACATTTTTGGCCAGGTTATCGCATTTTCAAGAAAAAATGTCACTCGTAAAAAGAATAATTCATGTATTCGTCTATTAAACAAATTTAAGCAAAAAGAAAAAAACGGTAGAGAAACCGTAAAAAAAAATTGTTGAAAAATAACGACCTACCCCTTTTTGCCCGTTCGATTTGAGATGGAAAGACCCATTCTAAATTAAATATAAATTTCCTAAAAATAGCACGTTGTTCTTCTTGTTGTAACAATAAAGTTTATTTAAGTTGATGTTTTCTTTAGGAAATTTATATTTGATTTATGAGTTTAAAAATTATTGGTTTAAAAATGTATTTCGATAAATTTAACTAAAACTGCGTTATAAAATCATAAGCATAACATAATCTACAAGTTGAGATGTTGCGTTTGACCGTTAAAAACGAACAATTGTAGATAATACCCGTAGATAAACTGATCAAGGGCCGCTTCCAAGACAACTTCGAGTTCTTGCAGTGGTTCAAGAAGTTCTTCGACGCCAACTACGACGGTCGCGACTACGACTCGCTCGAGGCGCGCGGCGGCATGCTGATCGGGTCGGCGGCGCCCACGGCGGCCGCCCACGATCACGGCGTTGGCGCGACGGGCGGCGGTCATCACGTGGTGCAACATCACGCCCCGCACGCGCCCACGCCAATGCCCAAGCAGAACATCCAGGCCAGACAGCAGGGTACGCCTCTGTCTAGTTTTAGGGTCACTGTTTATTTTATATGTATCGAGAGAGTTGGGAGTTGGAAAATGCATTTTTATTTTATTAAATGTTGATTTTGAATCGTAGAAATACAGGGTGTCACCAAATAAGTTGAAAACCTTTATAGGGATGATAGTACCTACACGCAAAAATAAGAAAGTTTTTCCTCTATCATTTTTGCTTTAGTGCCATTTTTTTAATAAAAGGTGGAAATTTTGGGCCGCCACTGGTTGTTCATGACCTATGACAACGGACGCAAAATATGCAGTGGGCAATAATATACATTCATTAAAAATTTAAATTTGTGTTATGGGTGATTCTACAAAAGTTGGGCAACTTTTGACCTCATTTTGTTTATATAGTTTTCGGAGAAAATTAAACAGTATTTTGTTATGAGAACATAGATAATATAATAAATATACTGTTCCAGACTGGGCCAGTCACTTTTTCAAACAGTTTCTGAAACATCTGTGTTTTCTAAATTTGAATGAAAAAAGTGACGAGTATACCAGGGTACTAATTAAATACATAATTTATTGGAAAATATAAGATTTATTGCAACTTTGAGCATATTATACATTAAATATCTTAAAATCAAATAATACCACACATCAGTGGCGGCTGGTGGATTTTGGGTATACCGATATCTCAATTATTAGATATGGGACCCACACCAAATTTATATGAGTTTTTAATGACATTAAATAAACAAGTTCTGCGAAAAAAAGATAACCGAAACATCGAACATGGAACTGACGACACAGTACTGATGAATGGGATACAAATTTGAGATTATAATTCATAATTAAGTATTTTACTGATATTTTTTATTAGTGGATGCTACTTATCAACAAATCACATATAGCCTTATATAAATTACAATGAAATATATGTACGTAAGAAAATAACTACTCACCACAGTACTAAAATTTTGACTGGCACTATACGTGCATTCACCACAACTTCGCCGCTTGCATTGTTTTCAAGATGACTGTCGTGCAAAGGGCGGGCTCTGTAGGTAATTTTTACCAACACGAGGACTTGACGTTTAAACTTCAATATTTCGCAGGAATTTTGAATTTTAACATTGTACACACAACTGACAGGTACAAAGATTATCAATTTTTTAAAAATTGCTATTCGAATCTATGATAAAATATGAAAAATACATTATTTAATGTTTTATAGTTTGTAGTAAAATTGAAAAATTTAAGATAAATTGAATATATTTTAAAATAAAATCAATCAAATATTTGATTCAGGAGTTATGACGCCAAGGTACTGATGTTTTGAATATTTATTGTTTTTCTACAAATGTGCTTTTGAAAAAATACATTAAAATTGGGTGGACAAGTTAAAAAAACCTGTATCTTTTTTAATATACTAAAATATTTACACAGGGTACCCACTCACCTGGAAAACAGGGAAAACCTGGAAATGTCAGGGAAATTAAATATTAGTAAAAAAAGTCAGGGAATTTGCTGAATTTTACGAAAAGTCTGGGAATTTAACTAATTTTTCTTGATTTTTCCGAAAATTGTTTCTATTTTTATTACCGGCCGAAGATTATTTTTTACAAATAATATAGCCGGGCATTGAAACTAAAATAAATCATTTGCGCAAATATTTATAAAATGTATGACTTTATAAACTAAGTTTGTTTCCTTTCAAATTTTTTATGAATGTTCTGTTTAATTTTTTTATTATATTTTAAGAAATGTTAAAAAAAATTGTAAATAAAATAAAATATATTTTTACTTTACATGTACTATGCTCCACACCTCAAATTCCTACCACGTGACCACGTACTGAACGCAGTCTTTTGAAAATTTGGAATTTAAGGCTTTTCAGGTTATGTATCTGTCAAAGTATAGTTAACGAAAGAAATAATATTATGTTTAGGCGTTAAAAATGTATAAATCTTTATAACATTAGAATAACAATGGATGGTTTAAGAATTTAAGAATATAAATACTGCATTTAATGAAATTCCAAAGTGTATGGTGCCAAATAAGTAATATTTTTGTGCATTTGGTCCAAATATCTGGTTTTCTCCATGAAATAATTTTAACTAAACAGCATTTATTTAAAAAAATCTAGCTTCTCTATTATGGAATAAGAATATCTGTATTAAAGGTAGGTTAATATATTATAACAAAAATATCATCTAATTTTGTAATTTTAAGGTTAGAAAAATTTATTTTGACCAAAATAAATAAGTATTTTGGATTATTTAAAAGACTGTATAATATGGTATTTAAAAATGTGGTAGTTTTTCTTATCCAGCTTAAAGTGTACCTACATAAAGTTTTGTCAATACAAATAGTTAAAAAGCTTCGACTGAATTTGATCTACATCAAAAAATCATTATAACTTTAAAAATTTTAATAAATCACATGTCATGGGAGTATTAAATATTTTCACATTGCAAGTTTCTCTAAAAATTGTTTGTTTTCTTATAATCTACATAACTTAAAGTAGGTATGCACAAGTTTTGTCATTAGAAGTATAAGAGCTTCATTTTAATTTGAACCATATTCAACAATTATTTAGTATACCTATATTTATTTATGACCAAATTAACACACTCTTCCAAATAATCCACTTATTTATTTTGTTCAAAATAGATTTTTATAACCTTAAAATACAAAATTAGATGAAATTTTTTGTTCTAATACATTAACCTACCTTTGATATATCAAATACAGATATTCTTATTTCATAATAGAGAAGTTAGATTTTTTTTATTAAATATCTGGTTTTTAGTTAAAACTATTTTATGGAGAAATGTAGACCCAATGCACAAAAATATCACTTATATTGCACTTTACACTTTGGAATTTCATTAAATGCAGTATTTATATTCGTAAATTCTTAAACCAACCATGTTATTGTGATACTATAAAGATTTATTAACTTTTAACGCTTAAACATAAGCGGTATCACTATAAATATGATTTCTTTCATTGACTATACTTTGACAGATACATAACCTGAAAAGCCTTAAATGCCAAATTTTCAAAAGACTGCGTTCCGTACTTGGTCACGTGGTTGGACTTTGAGGTGTGGAGCATAGTACCTATAATTATTGCTGGAAATTGATGAAAATTGGGCTGGAAAACCTGGAAAAGTCAGGGAATTTTGTTTCATTTTCTTGGTGGGAACCCTGTTACAAAAAATATTAAAATACCTACTGTATTGACTGATGACATCAAGTTGTCCCACTTTTGTAGAATCACCCTTATCATTGATTACTTTGTTGATAATTGTTTTTTGTTTTGCATACTCGGCTATTTTTATGTACTTTGAATAAAACAATGCCTACTTTTTATTGTTAGGTATCTCGAGGTTTCCGTGGTTTTCCCGTCGGTTTTAATCTTCACTTTTTACGTCGATTGATGCTCATGTAGCTACTTTTTGAAAATCATAATAAATGTTCAACTATCCCGCCGTTATTAGCCACACAAAGTTGACAGAGGCGTAGAAAATTATGATATGTCGAAAATTATAATAATGTCGCTCTTGTTATCATATCCGGATGTCCGAACTGTCAGTAATCATTGATTACTAATCAATGATAACAAAGTACCTACTAACCGATTTTAAATAAGTTTAAAAGTTTGCTTGATATTACATAATCACTGCGCATACCTGTTTCTTTTTTGCTTTGATAAATAATATCATTGTTTTTAGAGGTAAAAACAATGATAGGTCAGTGCAAAAATGATAGACAAAAAACTTTCTTCTTTTGGCGTGTATAGTAGTAAACTATCATCCCCCTGTATTTTTATTTACAAAGAATTGTATTTTTATTTTAAAAAAGTATTTTACCATTAACGAGATTATGTATACAATGTGTTTATAAATTTAGAAAACAAAAATGCCTTAGTATTCCAACACTAAATCCTCAAGACAAAACGTTAAAAATAAACAGGGACTCTAGTTGTTGCCTTATTGTTTGCGCCTAAATTGAGCCATTATTAAAAAATTGCACATGGTTATTTAAGGTCATTCCAAAATTTGACTATAGAGATTACAACATTTCACTAATGGTGAAAATTGTATCCAATTAAAAATATAAAAATAAAATATTTTAGTGAATTTAAGCTTTTCATAAAATGTTAAAACCAGACAATTTTTTTATTTTTAGACAATTAATTATTATCGTCATAGAGAATGTATGTATATTTAAAAAATAAGACGATAAAAAACTTTTTAAATACATTCAAAAACATTAATTTGACCGTTCTCCATAATTTCGTCGTCAACTGGCTAGCCTCCACCATATACTGTTAATTTGCTTATAGGCATCCCCTTTAAATAATGGATTTTGGATAGCAACGAAATCTTTGAACGTGTTACTTAGTTAACATTATGATTGGAAATTTAATTACAATTTCACTAATTAATTACTAAATAGCTATTTACTTAAAATATTGTGTGCATGGGGTTGCCAATAGGAAAAACTCTCGGAAAAACTGTTTTTATTAGTTTTACGGAAAAAATCATTCTTCATAAAAACTCCTGCTTATTTAAATAATGACATTCCCATAAAAATTAAATATGTACAGGTGCGGGTGCTCAGAAGTTAAGAAAGTCTTGACAATTCAAATTAAAGTCAAAATACGAAATAAAAAAAAATATTTTCAAATTTTATTTAATTCGTATAAAAAAAATTCACGCGTATAACAATTTTTATATTATAACACTTATAAGCCTATATAGAAAGACTTATTTGACATATTTGTATGCAGTTCAAAAGTCAGATTATTATACACCGCCGTACAATAAAGAAAATAAATTGAAATTACATAGGAAGAGTTATTGGATCTATCGCGTTTAGCTCGAAATCAAGAAAATGTTAACTTGTAGGTCACTGTAGAATAAATTAATGTATAAAGTATTAGCTGGCAGTGTAAGGAACTTTAAGAAGGTTAGCTTCTGAATTTACAAATAAGGTGTAAAAACAATTTACGGTTTTAAAATTACAAAATTAGATGATATTTTATGTTACAATATATTAACCTAACTT